TTCGCTGCCGCTAAATTTTAATCAACTCAAGATTAATTTATTAAACAACGTGCGCGACGTGCTCGAAGAATGAAACCGAAAGAAGATGAGTCGGGAGGGCGAAAGCTTTCTCCCATTTGCCTGGAGAAGGAGGAAAGCGTCTCGTTCCTCCCTTCTTCTCGTGTCCGCTTGGGGGCGCGTCAGTAGAAGGGAGGAAGACGCGCCGTTGCTACTTTTTTCCTCCATTTTTTCTTAGAGTGTAGGTACCGCAGCTTTATTGACGTTCCGCCGCCGTATTTCGCCATCTCGCTAAAGAGTAAAGGTCTGGCACCTTAACATTCAAAGTTTCTACCAGCGTCCGGCGTTGCTCCGGACGTTTTCTGACGTCATTCGGCCGATAGAAGTTGCTCGGAGTTCTAATTCAATTGTGTCCTTTGCAGTTGTAAGCGGCAGCGACGGCTACACACCGCCTTGGTTTTTGTTTATCTGCGCTAAAATATACACGTACAAACCGCTAGTGTGCTTTACAGTCTTGAAATCTGTACGGGGCGACATTCGCCAGTACAAGTAATTGATAACGCCTACCTAGGAAGAACGTTTACTCCTCTTATTGCCAGATTGTTCTTCGCTTGATGGTGTTGGGTAGACGCATTGGGATTGAGATTATTATGGCTATTTAGGCTAGCGCCTGTAGAAGATATGTCTTCTCAGTATTCAGGTATCTTGTAAAAAACGCTGACGCCGACTGCGGCCCTGAACATTTGATATAACGCTGTGCTCAGGTAAGATGACATTGATCAGAAACATAGATCGGCTTCTAGACACGATGTCTATGCAAATTGCTTCTGCTCGCCGTCGCACCGGCGCGCTACTGTCTTTTCGCGCGTTTTCAATGCGTCGTTACCCCCGGCCAAATAGTTGTACCCTGCTTGTGTTCTCTTTTCACTATCGTCAAAGGCATAAAAACATTTAGCGTTTTTTGCTTACACTAATACTTTAAAAAAGTAGGGGTTCGTATTAGAGAAGGCTAGAAAACAAATCACATTCAAAACTATAGCTTCAGTCGAGTGTTCTGTTTTTGTATCTTCTTTGCAGTAAACTTCCTGGGACCTCGATGACTGCCAGGGTCATTTTTCTTACAACTGGCCTCAAGAGTAGCACTTGAAACATTTAGGCCCGCACAAATATTTTCCATGTTTTCTGGGGTTCCGGAGCACGCTGTTCTATTGCAGATGTTAAATGTCACAGCTTGCCTAAATATCTTCTTCAACCTGCACTTGTTTTTTCAGAAGCACATTTATGCCGGCGGTAACTGATTCACTTGGCTACATAATAAGATAACTGCTGTTGGTGGCTTATTTCTTACGGCGATATTTGTTATTGGCGAGGTTTCGTAGCGGATTCTGTGCACGGTGCGTATACGTAGTACGTCGTGGCCAGCTAAATATAGCTGGAAATCTTTTTCTCGCTAAATGTAGCGCTGAATCAAAGCTTCGCGACGTGACCTCGTAGTGTTACCTGACATCATGTTACGTGACGTCATAATTGTGTCTCTAAATTTCGGGAATTAATTGACAAGCTAAATTTAGCGAAAAATTTTTGAGTTAAACTTTGGGGGAATTTAGCCTCCCCCGACTAATACTTTCTGTCCCGCAGGTGACTTGGGAGACCAAAAGGGTTCGGGCCACTCACTCTAAATCGCTCCATTACTGCACTGTAAGAAATCTGCAGCGTCTGCTTTCCCGCAAAGCACATTTCAAAGACAATCACTGCAATCTACGGACGACACTCGTCGAATGACGACACTCATAATATGTCTAAAACAGAAAAAAAAAGAAGAAATGGCTGTGCTGTGGCTCAGGGCATGATGATTTACAGTGCTCAGTGCCACAACGCCAGACAGTTTTTTTTTTATATTTTCTTTCATGAGGGGTCTAAACGTGTTATCAGCCCCGTAGATTGCGTCATACGTAGATAGTAGCGATTGGCTCTCCCAAGTTATCTTCAGGCGAGCAGACGCTCCAGATATCTTAGAGTCTGGTCTCCGGAACCGCGCTCCTGCTTCTTATCTTCACACTCTTTACATTGCTATTTTGCTTAGCCTCGTTTCCATCCGCGTGGTCAACAAATCCCGTGTGCGAGATGAAAGAAAAAAAAACAAAAAAAAAACAACGAAACATTGCGATTATGAACAAGTAAAATAATAAAAAAACGACAATAACAAGAATGACAGACAGTTGCGATTAAAGCGTGAGCTTCTCCTCGTAGAGGTACGGCGAAAGAAAAACGATGTTTTCCCGCACACCGGAAGTTTCAGAATTCAAAATGACGTCACCCGCGTAGAAAAGTTATATAAAATGTGCTAGCGGTTCGGGCTAGTCGGTGATGAATTTTTCTAACCGTGTTTAGGAGCGCTAAAGTGACGAACACAAGCGAGAGAAGACAGCGCCCGCATTTTGTCTTATGTCTTGCCTTTGTCTTTTTAGCGCTTTTATTCGTGGTTCAAATATCTATTGAAGGGTCTGTGAGTCGACCTTTATGCAGAGCACGAGAAAACAAATCACGGCGAACAAAAGAAGAATCTTGGCGAATGCACGAAACTAAGAATATAATTATACAAAAAATGCGATGTTAAACACACGCAACTTGCATGACCTTTCACTTCTTCAATAATCCTTGGGCGCAACGTTTTTTTTTTCTTTTTTTTAGGTCTAACTATGTTTTATGAGCAACGCCATTCACTGGGACCCTAGTATTGTTCGCCATGATTCGTTGTCTTACGTTCAGCAGAAAAGAAAACGCGTCTGACGTTTATATATATACATGTATATATATAGAGAGAGAGAGTACACCGGTGTATTGAGAGTGTAAAATAAATTAGACGGAGGTCGTGGAAAACTCTGCCACAGATTCTTAGAACACTATCACTTTACCTGAACGTTTCAATCACAGCCGTAGTAGGGGATGCACACGTCGAGGCCCAGCGGTACCTGTGGAATTAATAGATGCCATTAACGTACAAGAGAAATTCATGCTGGCATAACGCAGGCAGTATTTGTTTTCGGTCACGTTGCTTGTCGGAAATATGGCTACGAATCATAAATAAAGTTTGTTTTGTGTCTCGACAACGCGCACCCAACCATTATTAGCCTTATTTGTGAAGAGCGTCGCCTTAAAGGAGAGCAATACTCAATAATACAAACTAATTAAAAGATAGTCTCATTGGTATGAAATTTGCAGGACTTATTCGCACCTTAGAAAGGGGATTATATATAAAGTTTTACGTTTGTAGGTTTATCGCGCAGGAAGCTGTGTAAAAGTGCATCAAATAAATACCTTGAAACCTGAGGAACACTCTTTGATAACAAGTAAAACTATTAGCCAGTTTTTTGTTTTTTTAATGAAACATTGTGTATAACATTTCTGTCCCGCGGCTATGTAAAGAAAGTACAGAAATTATATAATTTCTAATCAAAATATTACTGTGAAAAACGTTTTATTTTTGGCGTCCATTAGGTTGAAGATACTGCAACTTTTCATAACAAAAAACCATGAGAATTCACAATGGAAGCTCACAGCCGGGTTCCTCACAAAAATTCAGTACGTAAAACTTTAAAAAAACTGGCTCCACACACAAATAATACAGTTCCTCAAGCGAGAACTGACGCTAAAATATTTAAGCGAGATAAACGTGTTTGAATATTTTGACAGCTGAACCTTTGATTTGAATACAAATATTTTAGTTACAAAAAAGAAACTTTCTGACAACATCCATAAGAATATTTGAAATTTGATAAAACAACTTGTTGTAAATGTGACCTAACAAAATCAATTTTTCTCTCTATAGCAAAAGATTCCTACCGAATGACCATCTGGCAATCAAACTGTTCAAGAGACCAACCGGCAGGCCACGAAACCTCACTTTTACAAGGCAAATTATCCGACATAGAATTGTCTATTTCTGATTTCACTCATAATCATTATTTGATTATAAAAAAAATATATCAACAAAGTTTGGTTTTGTTAATTCTGCTAACTCGGTGATTTCTTTTCTCATCCCCCCGAACTTATTATCTTTATAACAAGTGCATTGTTTCTAATCAGAAAGAAAACCCTCTGCCCAGAATAGAATTTATCCTATCTTCGTTCAAACTAGTATCTTTTCTATTTCCTACAGTTTTGGATAATAGCCCACCCACATTCTCAATAATATTTTATAGATAACTTAAACATAATTAGCTTGCATACTAAAATTACTCTATCCACTTTTTGTGTATTCTGCGCTTTTCATGTAAATCGTTTGCAGTCCGTGTTTATGTTTATACGTGTATAAATTTTATTTTTATTTCTATTTCTGCATTTCCTTTGTTATATGCCAAGCACCTGCGGCCCGGACATTGTCAAGTCAAGAAATGTTGGCTTTTTCTTACGTGGCTCCGACATCTGTATATGCAGCTGCGCAATAAACAATCTTAAATAAAATAATTTATTTCCACAAATTTGCAAATATGACTCACTCCAGGCACACCTCAAATCTGCTGATAAAAATTAAGTGCCTTCCAACAAAATGCTGTGATACAATTTGGATAGCCATATCCTACCTTCAGAGAAAGAACGCAGTTTAGCATAGTCACAGGAGCTTGAACAAACATGAAGGTAATTTTCTATTACACGAGCAACCTTCAGAGGTGAAAGGAAATCTTATCGCATGATCAACACCATCTGCAGAATTGTCCAAGTTGTGTTGTGCACAAATCTTGCGAGCGGGTGCGGTGCGTGCGCGCATGGAACGACGCCTCCTGAGGCATTAGTAGCGGGAGCTTGTGACTTGCGCAGCTGCCCGCTCGACACGCTCATCTTTTCTCGCGCTGCAAACACGCATCCGAGGTCAGGTCGCCTGATCAAACATTATTCGAGGTGATGGACACGAACGCTGAGAGATAAAATGCGCACAGTCGTAGCGAAATATTGCCCAGTAGAGCAGATTTGGTATATAGTTCACGTGCCACCTACATCTACTAGTGAAGATGCTTCGCCTAAGTGTTTTCCTTCTCTTTGTTACCTCCGCCTGTTGTAACGACTTAGGTAAGCTTGGCAAGGATTGTGACATCACTCGTCGTTAATCGACTAATTCATATTCGATTGTTTCAAGGTCGATCTCTCAACGAGCTACCGCAAAGTTTACCGAAGGCTTGTAAACTAATTCGCTTCGCGCTTGTTTCTTAAAGCTTACAATCTGTCAATGCCGCGGTATTCTATGATTCTTTGCCCACTGTGTAGGGTATAAGGAAAGCATAGTCCATTATATTCAAGCTTATTGCATGCTGATTCCTTCTTCGGCCTTCTTATCAACAGCCGAACCATCATAGGATGAGGGACACCTGCCACGCCATCCGTTTCTTCAGCTGTGAGCGAGTGTAAACTTATAGTACCTAAATGAGTCTGTTACCTTGCTTTCTAAAATTCCAGCTGCTGCATTTTTTTTTCTTGACATGAAGTTTATCACTCATGCAGAAGTTATATATTTCTCCTGCAGTCATCACGATGTTAAGTACGGGAAAGGCACATCGGGAAATATAAAAAAAAAACTCAAACTGAACTTTCGACCGCCATATAACAGAAATCTATTCTGGGGCAAATTTGTAGAAACAAGGGGGGTGATTATTTATGAACGCGATAGCATTTATCGTTTCACTCTGTGGGAACCATGTATTCCCCGCATCCCTATCTAGGCCTAGCTCAGGCAGGCCGTGGGACGTCGCCACGTGGGGGCGCGTCCCGGATGCGAGGGCGAAGCCGTATTCCCTGGTGGGCGGCTTTCCCTCGTCCTTCTCGGGTGATTTGCCTAAAGCACAGCCCTCGGGATCATGACTTGGACGCGTCCGCCCTCCGGGGAGCCACCTAGATCCGACCCACCCTGGGCGCGTCCATTCCCGCGGGCTATATAAGACGGCCCTAATCCAACGGGCGGGACTCTCGCTGGGGGAGGCTCTGCTCGACGGAGCCTTCATATCTTTATCTGATCCTCCCCCTCCGTTATACTGTCAATAGCGGCAGCGCGGACTCCGACTGGTGATCCTGTCAAAAGAGACAGCGCCGTCATCTCCACTATTGTTGGCCTTCGGGCAAGCGTGTGACATTCGAGTCAATAAACACGTCTTTATCCGGACCCAAGGAACCTTCTGTGTTTCTAAGTGGTACCCTCACAAAAGGGGAATCCCACAACACACGGGCAGGTGTTCGCTTTCCCGCTAAATTTAGCTAAGAGCTTGAATTGGTTCATAGGTTATGTGAAGTTAATTTTCCGCTGAATTTAGCGGGGAGCCTGATTCTGATAAATTTAACGAGGAACCTGAATCGGTGCATAGGTCATGTGAAATCAATTTTCCGATAAACTTAGCGGTAAACCCGATTCCGCTAAATTTAGCGGGACACCTGAATTGGTGCATAGGTCCTGTGATTTTGATTTTCCGCTAAATGTAGCCTAAAATTGATTACATTAGATGCAACATACATAGATATAAATCTGTGATGAGTGGCTTAATAATGCAGTCGCATTAAAAACTTTAATCTAATGTGAACCAACATATTGTTCGACGCTTCAGATAATGTTTTGCTTGCAATCACAAAAGGTACATTGAACGGCGATTTCCTTGGCTGCGACTATAAAAAGCTGGTTTGATGAGACAAGCAACTTGTGCTTGTCTCAGACATTTTGAGACAAAGACGATTGCATAAAAAAAGAATAAGGGGAGTGTTTTGTGCTTGGTCTCCTATTTTTCACACTTTTGGACCTGGAACGTTAGCCTATTAGCGACTATACTTGGTTCTCGTGATCCTGTGTTAGAGCATTAATATCTTGACCCCGATATTGTTATGTGTATGTATGATTACCAAATTTTATGAAACCATTTTTAAAGCTTGAAATGCGTTTTAACTCTATCCCGAATCCCAATTTTTTTTTTCTGTCCGTCTCCGTCCGTTCCTCTTTCCGTGCATTTCCCGCTAAATTTAGCGGGGAAATTGATGTCACGTGACCTTACAGAAATTCAGTTTTCACGCTAAATTTAGCGTAATGATTGATGTCACGTGACCTCACATCACGTGGCCTATACACCAATTCAGCTTTCTCCGCTAAACTTGACGGTAATATTGATGTCACGTCACCTAACGTCAAGTCACTAATACATAAATACAGTTTCACCACTAAGTATGGCGGCAGAATTAATGTCACGTGACTTATACACCAATTTAGTTTTTCTGTTAAAATTAGCGGAAAAATGGACGTCACGTGACGTGACGCCATATAACCCAAACACCAATTTCATTCTCCCAATAAATTTGGCAGCAAAATTGATGTCACGTGACCTGACGTGATGTGAACTATACATCAATTTAGTTTTCCCCGCTAAATTTAGCAGCAATAATGACGTCCCGGCACCCGACGTCTCCCGACTCGTCCTGTCCATTATCGAAGAACCCCGAATGCCCGGCGATAACGGACAGGACGCGCTATTTACAACACAAGAGCTGGTCCTGGCGCTGGACTCTATCAACGAGAAGCGTATTTGTAAACAAAAGGCGATACGCGGCGTAGCAACGCCGCTCGCGCCGGAGTGGCTGAAGAGGAAGCTGTGTTTTCACACGTACCAACGAGCGATCGCTGCGCTGGCCGGCAGTGGGCGCGTTGCGTGTGTATCACTGGGCGCGTTTTCATCCCCCCCCCCCCCCCCCCCCGTTTGCGTCACTTCGCGGCGACCTTCCGCGTGTATCACGGTGGCATTTTAATCCCCCCTCCACCTGTGTGTATGAGCCGCCACGGACTGTCGTCGCGAAGCGGCGTGAAAGGGGGAGGGAGGGGGGGGGGGGAAGTTAAACGCGCTCCAGTGATACGTGCGCGACGCGCCCACTGCCGGCCGGTGCAGAAATTGCCCGTTGACATGTGTGACAGCACACCCAATCCGGCGTGAGCTGCGTTGCCATGCTGCAAATCGCCTACTGTTTACAAATACGCCCACGGACAAGGGCTGCATCACGTGGCGTATGCTCCACAACCTCGATGAGCCCGAGAAGCGACAGCACCTGACCAAACTTAACACAGTGTGGGCTACAGAAAATTCACCTGACGACAGGAAGTTTTCGGTGGTTCACCTCTTCACCAAAGAGGGAAGAAGCCGGACCGTGTCCAGAACATCCGCCCCATCTCAGTAACCCCCACCCTATGCGAACTCCTAGAACGGCTGATCCTCACCAGGCTCACCTACATACTGGTAGAAGCAGGAACCGGCCCCTACTACGGCTACGCGAAGATTGGATTTCGGCCTGGCTTATGTATCCACGACAGCCTGCACCTCCCCCGCAGCATAGTGGGGAAGAGACGCCGCGGTACGAACGAAGTACCAGGGCTCCTGGTTGCGGTCGACCGCCAGAAAGCTTTTAAAGGCGAAGCTCCTTAGGGTCTAGCCTTGTCCGTCCGTCCGGCCGGCAGGCCGGCCGACGTCCATGCTCACATAAAAAAAAAAAAAAATGTTTGCGCAGTCAACAGGATTCGAACCTGTGTGGGGAGACCCCAATGGATTTCTTGTCCATCGCGTTAACTACTCGGCCACGACTGCGGGACGAGTAGGGGGCTCTGAGATGTGGTAGTGACTCAAGAGCTGGGGTTTCTGTCATGGATGAAACGTTGCATGCAGCCGGTCAACGTCTATACAGGAGAGGGCGCTGCGGTCAAATGCGTATATAATCGAGGTTAAACGTTGCATACATTGGCTCAACGTTTATAGACGAGAGGGCGCTGCGGTCTAATGCTCAAATGCGTATATAACCACGTTCCATACCACACATTCTCTTTCTGACATGGGCCGTTGACTTAAGCGGTGGAGATGCGTTCCCACGGCGGCTTCTAGCGGATCCAAGCTGATCTACTAGAAGAACCACTGCATCTGCATTTCACCAACCATAAAGCAGTAATAATGAAGTCGAAACGCAACCCGGAACTCAGCACTACCTATGAGCAACAAACAAAAGAATCAGCACCATCAGCACTACCTATGAACAATAAAATCAGTATCATGAGCACCACCAGAGCTTCGCCCCAATCAACATCATTCACCACGTGCAGATGCGGTCATTTTTTTTTTTTTTGACACAGTGAAACATTCGGCAGTAATCGAAACACTCGAGGAACGCGGGGCGGGCACCCGCATCGTCAAAGCCGTCAAGGGCTTCCTCGAGAACCGTTCTTTCGAAATTAGCTCCGGTGCCAAACAGCTTCGCACGTTCCCCAATGCCTGCGGAGTTCCCCAAGACGCCATCCTCTCGCCGACGTTGTTTAACCTTGTCATGCGCATGATTGCGAAAGAGCTGCGCACCATTAAACATCTACAGCTCACAATGTGCGCGGATGATACCACCCTCTGGGTAGATCCCCGCCACACCACGCTCGACACCAAAACTACCGCCGCCACTGCACAACTGGCCCTGTACGTCCTGGATCGATGCCTACCGGCCACCGGTATGCAGTTCACCCCAGAGAAAACACAGCTCCTTGTCACTGATGATCTTGAACATAACCGAAACCAAGTACACCTCACTATGGACAATCAGCCCATTCACTGCTCCCCTGAGCGCTGGATCCTCATCATCGGACTTTCACTACACGTGGAAGGCGGCGCGGATGAATTGCTTAAACATCTCAAGTCCGCAAGGAAGCAACAGCTCCATCTCATCTAGAGGATAGGCAATCACTTTGGTGGTGCCGGTACACGCAACATTCGTATGTTTACTCAGGCAACCCTCACCACCAAAGCCTGCTCATGGCTCCACATGTTTCGAACTCACCAAGATAAAATGCATGCAACTGGAGGTTCTGCATCGCGAATGCCTTCGCGCCATCAAACGCCTTCCGAAAGACACACAAGTACGGAAAAGCTCTACCGGTACGCAACCCTTTCCACTCACCAAGCCATTATCGAGACCGGTAACGGCGTGCACCATTGGCGGCGCACCTCATCCGACGCCGGTGTACGCCTACTCCAGCTGTGCCATCCAGCCCTGCGAAGCATCGGTCTCCTTCCACCACCAAGCATATTGCCACGGAAAGACGCCCTGGTTCGAGAGCCCAAACCACATACTCGACGGCGCAACCGCGAGGACCGTCCAAAAGAGAAAGCGAACCATGTCGCACGCACTGACACAGTGGAGAATGCTGCCTTGACGTACATTGTCAGAACTACTTATTAATAATTATAATGTTTCTAGAGTTCTGTCGCGACACCTTGAAATGTATTGCCGAGACTGTGTTGCACCCCTGCCTGTGAAAAGTGAACTGTCATTAGTAAACCTAAGAATAAGCTGACCCGCGAGATTATGGAAGAACACGAGATAGGCCAAACAGGGTCGGAATGAGTCAGCGCCCTTCACTATCAGTTTCAGATAGAGAGGGCTGTTTTTTTTTTTATATCAGATAAGGCCACCACGCTCAAGTTACATTTGCCGTGACCCCTGTCTTTAAATTTTTTTTTTTCTTTAAGTGACTTGTTTGTAGTTTTGACACGTAATATTCGTGCTTCATCTCAGCAGCGTTGTAAGGAAGAACAACGTTCCTAGAACGCGTTCCTTTCAGGAGGAACGGAGGAACGTCCGTGTTCAATTTTGCCTTAGTGGAACTAAATGGGGAACTCGTTACATTTTTAAGGGGACGAAAAGAACAGCGGCGTTTTTTTCTTTTTTCGTCCACTGGAGTACTTTTTATCATATTTCTAAGGGAGGAGTTTTGAAAAGTATGAAAAATTTTTTACGAGGAGTAGGGCATAGATAACCTCTCTGTTACTTATTCTGGGGTTTAATTTGTGGGGTCCACGCTTGGGTATGAGTCGGGTGTGGGCGAGCTGGTGGTTAATAATCCGGTTTTCAGTGCCCAAGACTGCGGTACAAAAAGTTAAACCTTTATTCGTAGGCAAAGACACAGAAAGAGGGAAGTCTCCAAACTAAGCTACTTGCTTTAGTTCCATGAATCCTCATACACCCGGAAATCTAAGGCCGGTAGAGCAATTACTGAGCTTCCACAAATAGACCTACAGTTATAACGAAGGAACATGTTACCAGGCATCCAACGCACCCTTGTGTCTCGAACATTGGTCACTTAAAAAAACAAAAAAGTAAGCTTTATTCCCTTTCCCCTCTCCCCCACCTTCAAGCTGAACAACAAATTCAACGTTCCCGAAGACTGGCTGGTAGTTTTGAAGACTGACCCTCCAGATGCCCTGCCCTCTTCTCCAATTCCCTTCCACCGTAAAAAAATGGGAATTAGACATGCAGAAAGTAGGCGCATCCGTTTGTACTAAGCAGATAAGCATATTCTTTAGTCATCGGTGCAAGGCACGGGAAAAACTCGTGCCCGGTAGAAGTGGTGAGGACGCGCACTCTTAGAAGGGCATCACCGAACCTAAAGGTGTCCTTCCATCACGGCATTCAAATTCGTATGTTGCCATTTGATGGGATAGATAAAAAAAACTTTGTCTCATATACCTAAATATGGAAATTAGCAAACTACGAAGTTCACGTATGTTTACCTATACGTTTCCTCTTTTAAACTCTAACGGGTTGTAAGTTCCATCTGTGATGAAAGAACTCTAACGAGTTCTTTCATCACAGATGGAACTTACAACGGGAACGCGTTCCAAAAATCAGAAGGAACAAGGAACGAGCTAGCACTGCTCTTTTTGAGGAACGTGTACAACACTGCACCTAAGCATCAATAAAATTTAGTTCTAACTATGCGCTGGATGTTTCTTGTTTTCTTCTCTCCGTGTCCTTGCGCTGTTTGTACTTTTAATAATTAACCAACTTGCCCAATCGTCTACGTAATACACGATCATTTTTAATACCGTATTCAACGCGCTTAAAAATAAAGTGGAAAAAATACGCGCCTTCTGGATTAATCTTGATCATATTGCTTCGAATCTACCGATAAGGGGCAAAATAAATTTTTGAAAATCAGTACAAAATGTACAAATTTGAAGCGCTTAAAGTATGCTATGAAAATTAAGTAAAGTTCTCTATTCTTGCAGATTTTAAGGTGCCACTGGCTTTTGAAGCATATGACAGCGGTATGGGCAAGGAGCAAATGAACCGACTCGTACTGGCCCTTGTCAGGCGTGCCGCCATGAGCCCGAAGGTATCACGAAAACTCTTTTCCAACTATCTGAGCATTCTTTTTTTCTTTCTGTAATACCTTCACTAAAGCAGCATTTTTCTCGGTATTTTTTGTTTCGTGAAACACTACGTGTCGCGAAATAGTCTGTTCACTATTATTTTGAAGAGGAGCGTCTTCAAAGCATTGTAATTGCAGTCTGCGTTTCGCTAGCACATTCTACTCACACATTCTACTCATATTTCCAAGAGGTAATACATTCTAGTACGTTCTACTTATATTTCCAAGAGGTAATGTGCTCAGTCCTCAAGAAACAAAATGTATTTTTTCAGCAATACGTCAGCTCCTATTCATGGGATTTCCAGCAGGTTTCTTTTATCATTAATAGAGCCATTATCTGCAACCCTCATGTTTTGTTAGAAATCACATATTATAAATAGTAATTCAGAAGAAAGAAAGACTGTTGTGCATAAGTATTGAGCAACTAGGCCATTTGTAGAGTGCCGCAGTAAAAACAAGCTGAGAAGTCAAAACTCTTTTTTTTCTGTAATGGGTCGTCCATTCGCCACGAGTATTTTGAGGTGGAACGTTTAGCGAAACGAATGAGGTGATAACAAGAAAGCACCCTACTGTTCAGTGCTACATTGTCTGAATCTTGATGTACCAAAAATTATGGATGAAGTCAACAAAAACAACTGAGAAATCTATTTGGCTGTCACTCGGTAAGCTATGGCACTACAACTTGCAGTCTTCAAATGGTCGGTAGAATAACCTGCGGAACTCTGTAACAAAATCGAGTAAATTTACCGGAGCAGTAGGTAGCGTAGGTGTTGTCTAGGGGATTCTTTCGTGACCTTGAAAGTGATGAATGTTTTCAGTGGACGTACAATATTCGTATGGGCGAAGAGTGCACACTTGGGCGTGGAGAGCTCGCATTTTACAACAAAGCACCGTCTCTTTTGAACCCAAAGCAGGTGCATCATCTAGTAGAAAAGACGTAAAGGATAGAAGTGAACAGCTAACGCCTAGTGAATTGTGCAGCGATAGCTAGACTATCCTATCGGAAAAACTGTAAAACAAAGGAACGGGAAATACAAATCACTAAGTTAGAGTCGCCAATACTACGTCTCATTTTCGAATTGAGCCGCAGCGGACGCTATGTACCATTTAACCAGATCTAAGCCTGAGAATTTCACAGACCCTCCGGTGAGGTGCAGCAACGTGTAAAACGTGAAGTCACGCGCCCCATTCACAGCGTTTTTTAGGGTTATAGCTCGTCGCATTGGCTGCTGTTCATCCTGGTGGGAGACGGATAATACCGGAAAATGTTTTTCGACCTAGATTCACAACGTCATGTTCTGTCAGCAATGTGCTATGAACTTTTGCAGTGGTCACAAAAAACCTGCTGTACCTATACGACGTATTTCTAGTTCGGCCCGTAACCGTGCGGCGATAACTGACCAGAGTACAAAACTGCCAAGACTGCGGCGATTGTTGCTTTCATCGTCATCCAGAATTCATAGCACATAGCGACCAATATATCGAGATACAAAGGGATGTCTGGAAATACTTCCCTACAGTTGTCGAACAGGCGATATTGTGCTGGATTTATTTATTTTTTAATCCCCTGGGTTTGGGCGCCGACTTGCGCCATGGTTCTTTCTAAACTGTTTGAGAGCTTAGTGATCTCCTTACGGGCAAGCTGCAAGTATCAGGGCCAGTTGCTCGCATTATTTCCCAGAAACTCTGCGCTTTGAGCAGTGAGTTAAACGTAATAAATATTGGTATCCAGTCTCAAAACCGGGATAACTATATACTGTGTTTGTGTCTACGGCACATCCTGCATATTTACGCTTTTATGAGAGGCGGTTATGGTGTAGGAACTGTAGGTTGTTTTAGTGTTACCTGAAACTGAGACTTTGCATTGGCAAAAGAATACGAAATGCGTCCATCAACGCTGCGATGTAAAAGTATATGTAATAGATTACTCTTCAACTAATGCTAGACAAGCCAGAATGGCGAAAATAATCCCTGGATAAGGGGAACAAGATCCCAATAATCCCTTCTCCAGGGATTATTTCGTTATTCTTGTCCAGCTCATTTGCAGCTTTGCATTTAATTACATTCTAGCCATAATGGTCTCTCATTGTAGGAGCGCGCATGTGAACATTCTTATTGATGGCTTAATGTATATCAATCAGTGTGTATGTATTAGCGCAATCTTAATACTGGCATTACTTTATGTTCCCAAAAAGGATGTGCAGGCTATCGACGAATGTTACGATGCAGGCAACAAGGACATTATCCAGGTAAAAACTTCACCTACTGTAATATTTGACTGCATAAACGATTCGCCACTTTTTGCCGCCCTTGTGGTTCTTATGGAACCTTCAACAATTTAAAGCAGCGTAGCCTTCATTCCGAACTTAATCATGAAACACACTTGAAACAGATAATTTTTAGAATGGCATACGATACCACATATTATCGCCGCTACGTACCCTCAATCAGCAGTCCTGATCAGAGTGGAATGATTATGCGAGTCAAGAGAAAAGTGCTGGTGTAGCATAAATTTAAGATAAAAATTAATATCCAATATTTACTGCTTATAATACAGATATATAAGCTCTTAAGGAGGAACATAGTTGCTAAAGTCCTTGTAAATTAAAAATATAAAAATTAGTGCCACATTAAGGGTTTAAATAAAGCCTCTTAAATGGTGCTTAAAAGATTTGTTTTCATTTCTCAATAAAATACCTCAATAATTTTTTTTCAAACGCCAACAAAAATGAAAAGAAAATGATTTTTTTTACGTAAAAAAAAAATTCTTTCTAAATACTTTCAGGCGAGGCATTCTTATATATCAGTAAATACTGAAAAGAACAGCCTGGCCTCACCGAGGGTCATCTGATAGAAACACAGAAAAGAAAATGGTATATATGTTATATCCCCTCAAACTCAAGAGCTTCGTTTCGAAGCCTGGCTGCATTTGCCTTGAACACTGCCCTTCCTCTCGTAGCCAACAGCCGAGATGCAACGACAGTATTTGAGTCTAACGTTTGTAGCTGTTGAAAACAGATTAAGTTTTTTTTTTTTTTTGTGAACGAGAAATGCGAAAATTTCTGGTATTCCACCTGCACTTTAAGACAAAATTTCCTCGCTTAACAAGTAGCTAAAAATGGGTAACAATCTACTGTTCCGTCATTTAGAATACGAACAATGCGCGAAGAAAATAGTAATTTGGTCATTGAAAAACGAGCATGGGAAATTTTCTATCAATATGATGTAGTGTAGAATAGTTCCTGACAAGCTGATAAGGGTAGAAAGGAGCTTCATTTGACGCTCCGTCAGCGCGAGCTTCATACCTTTGACCACGCTTTTGCTTCCCGTGCATTTCGAGCGAGCACGCGCGTAGCCAAAGACAGGCTGAAGACATGGAGCGCGTACTGGGGTCTAGGCGTTCCAAAGACGCGCCCTACCCTTCTTACTTTGTCTGTGACTACGTTATATATCTATTCAAATCATCATATCGTATTAAATTGTATGTTTTTTCCCCTGAATAACAGGTCGACCCTTGTTTTTTGTTTCGAGGCTGAAATTATTTATTCACACTTATATAGTGTGGTTTAAGTCACCAGGCTCGATCTAGAATGGACCGTAAAAATAGACGCCTGCACGTAGCCATCTAAACTTTTCGTCAAAGGTGTATTTCAAAAGTCGGTTTTTCCTTGTAAAATTACAAAGCGTAGTTCTCTTTTAGTATAAAATAGGGCCAAGAAACTTTCCAGAGTCTACGGCGGGCGGTGACCCAGACGACCAAGTCCAGTAGCGTGCTGTGTTTGCCGTTCGTATTGATAGATGGCGTCGGGAGCAGCGTCTGAAGGCGCAGCCGATCAGCGAAAGGTAGCAGACGACACGCAGACGAAATCCGTTGGCAGCAAAAGCGCCGCCGTTATGCAGACGTGTTTTTTTACTTTAAGTTTTGCTTTTATTGTTCGCATTCATTTTTCAAACGAAGGTACATTTCAAAAAGATTATATTCATTTTAACAAAGCACGGTGGTCGCGAGCCTTAACGATTAGGAGGTAGCGCCATTGTATACGAACGCCAAACACACCCCGCTACTGGACCCCTGTCGTTTGCGTTGCTGCCCGCCGTAGACCCTGGCAAGTTTCTTGGCCTTATTTTTTACAGAAACAGAGCTACGTTTTGTAATTTTACGAGAAAAAACCAACCTGTGAAATACACATTTGACGAAAAGTTTAAATTGCTACGTGCAGGCGTCGATTTTTACGGTCCATTTTAGATCGAGCCTGGTGACTTGAACAACCCTATAGATGCACCTCTTGCGTACTAGGGTTAGCTGTTTATACGGTACATTTGTGTATCGGTTGATTCACAACTGGTTTTCAGTCTCAGGTTTGACTACATACTTTATGTTTGGTGTGGTTTGGTCGCGGTCCATGCATCTACTCGTGTTTTTGTTTTTGTTTTTCGTATTTCATTGATCACACTCGTTTGTGTTGCCACCGCTGAATTTTTGTTCGAGTGCATAGACGTGTGTTGTTTATCCAAAAATGTATGCCACGAAATTTTGTAGAAGTATTTTATGATCACCATATCGAACGAAAAATGTATTGAATATATTTTAAACCTGTACTGGAGTAATAATGCAACCTTACCTGAAAGGCGACTAGTTTGCATTATAGTTTTTCTATACAGCGCTCAGAGCCCTTGATCCTTCGCCCTTGCTGTTAAGTATAATTTTTTTTCATGCTATCCTTCAACAAGGTAAGTCTAGTGAGATTTTATTTACCCTTGTAACTTGCGAACTAGTTCAAACTTGGCTTCGGCACAGTTTGTGCTTAACAAACAGCAAATCTCCAACGCAAATTTTGAACAATTTAAGACACGTTTACTACTGATGAATCCTCAGTACATTGCGTTTCTTTAGCATATGTTTTCTTCCCTTTTTTTTTTGGTTTCGTGTATGTGTACCACTGATTGGGCAGACAACTACTTGGGGTCATAATAGAAAAACAATATATTAATTTTTAACTTTTGAATAACAAAAACGAGACTGGCCGGGACAAGAAGGGGCGGCCAAACACTAAGTCTCATACACAGCTGAAATTTATTCGACAACGAAAAAGGCTTATAAAAATGCATCAAATCTACACAAAACATTAGAGACGAAAGAGAGAGGGAGAGAGAGGGAGAAATTTTGGTGTACTGTTTGTGGCGCGGGATTCCCCATGTCTCCCTCTCTCTCTCTCTCTCTCTCTCGTCTCTAATGTTTTGTGTAGGATTTGATGCCTATGTAAGCCCTTTCGATGTCGAATAAATGCTGTCTTTGAGACTTTGTGTTTGTCTGTCCGTTCTCGTTCCAGTCCGGGGTTTTTTAGTCGAATCTTTAACCACCACCAGCTCGTTTGCGCCTTAACCTTTTGTTCAATAATATTAATTTGTAGGTTCATCAAACTTAATGCTATACTATCTGTTATGATCCGCGAAATAAATCTGAACGTATCTGCATCTCTAAGAATGGTATAGACTGTGCATAATTTTGTGTACGAAAATAAATGTTTTGTACGATTGCAGAACAAATAATAGTTTAATCTGATTTTTTTTTAACTAGGGATACAGATAAACTTATTGAAGAAGAAATCGCATAATTAATTTAAACAGAACTTTAATCCAGCTGCTTAAAAAAAACATTTTTCTCGTTTTTTTTTATTCTACCGCTGCTTTATATCCTAATCTCGGAGAGCGTAACATGTTGTTTCTCTTTTTCCTCCATGTAGATGAAAAAGTGCTACAATGAGAAGGTTGGAATCGTAAGTCCCTGTAACTCTGAACATTTCAATAATAATCTAAGTTTGTAGTAGGCGCATTTATTCCGAGATCATGTACTAGGGTAGTTTTCTATCTCTGTAATATTTCGACAATTATATTTTGTAGCTTTTCTTTCTTCCTTTTTTTTTACTTGACTGAAAGAACTATTGGTGTCAAGCTGTCGAATTTTCATTATTGTAATTATACCTTCTGCGGGAAAAAGAATAACACTTATTAGTCTTATTGCGTGTAAAATCAACTGCGATTTCTCGCATGAAGCACATGAGTGTGTACTTTCGAAGGTGGACCTTTTTTGACACGGTTTTATTTTAGTGTAATTTCAAAAAAACCTCCTGGTAGCTTACCGTAACAACCGGCGTATTGCTAATAGCTTCTTCCCGCATAAGCTTGATGTCTTTGCAAAACACCAACTGTCACTCTGAGGTTACCAGAGCTATTTTCATGTAGGTTTTTTCCCACTTTGAGCACCTGTATGTTTTGTTTGGACTTGCCGTATCAAAATGCCATATAGTTTTCTCCCGTAGAAAAAGAAGCAAACACTTCATTGACGGTTCTGTATATAACATTACTTACAGTTAGTCAATGGAGTCTGCGATAAAGCCGGCATCACCAAGTTTGTCCATGAACGCTTGGGACATGGACACGCGTTCGCAATTCAAGTTGGAGAGGAAGTCGTCGGATGCTTCTGCCTCGAAAAGGTAATCGGGGAAATCAATACCTAAATAAATGTAGATCATTATTTAGCTACGAAGCACTAGAACCCTTTCCCATTATGTGGTGGCATTCACTATTCAGTGTTTCTAAGACGATCGAGGTGTGAGAACCCCTTGCAGGTTTCTAGTTTCTGTCTTTATTAGTACGGAGGAACAACGGTTTTATTTTTAAGTTTACAAGGTGTGTGCGTTGCCAAATATTTTCGCGTGCCTTGTGTTACATGCCAAAGATGGTCAGCTAGACGAGTTAATACCAGCGTCATATTTAAGAATCTTAATTCCCATCAGCCGTGGTTACTTCAGGCGATGTGAAGCAATGGTTCATTAAGTGGAAAATGTTTTCAGAAGGTGAAACTATTTTTTAATTATATAAACATTTCTGTTTTCGCGTCTATGTTAAAATTGAACATACTCTTGCATTTTCCACACAGGCTGCTGTTATTTGGATTCAGATTTGCATGACCAGCCTCATAACACACACACAGATATATATATATATATATGTATATATATATATATATATATATATATATATATTATTTAGACTTACTGAATACATAACACAAATAATGCAGACTGATTAATGTCTTCCTTTTTGAAACAGGTGTATATATTTAGCTTTCAAAATACAGACAATTTTATCAAATAAATACTTCGTATCTCGATGTGATTATGAAATGAATTAAGATGTTAACTTAAAGGCTATTTCTAATCTTCTGTTTCAAATTGTCTCAGGAGCGATTTATATTACCTACACAATATGCCTTGTTTTGACTATTTGAAATCGTGAAGCTGATTGGCATCGATTGTATAATCGGTGACATGTTAAATATTCATTGAAGTATGTAACACAAAGAAATGTATGCCCACCATTCCATCGCTTTTACTTGTTTTAATTCGAATTGAACTGGAAGAATAACGCCTGTGGTACAAGACACTCAACTTGCACAACTCAATGTTTAACCTGTAACTGACTCGAATGGGCGTAGTGTGTCTTCTCTCAATAAGTAATCCTTATAGTCATTGGTGTTAAGTGTATACCATAATCGTAGAAGATACGACTCGCGTACTGTTAGTAGGGATGCATTTGCATTTCTACAATCTTTCTACACTTTTTTTTGGAACAGTTAAGGAATTTGCCATAAACAGACGGTTATTTACTATAATGCTAACTATACTTAAACATCACGTTATGTTTCACACGCAGAACTCAGAATATTATTATATTCACAATATTTTTTGTTAGAACTTCAGAGGTATTAAAAATTGTACCCTGGCGTAGGATATTTTACTCCTGTGCTATCTAACTTTGCTACATCGCAAAATTGTGTATTAATATGCACTAGTCCTGATAAGCTTTGGATTAAAGGTTCACCAACTGTAAGATGGGGTTATGCCCGAAGGTAGGAATTCTATGTAGACCACGCAATTATACTGTCGTTTTCTGGAGATTTGTTATATTATCTGGGGATTTGACAATTGTATACCCACACCGCAGTAGGTTTTGTTGTGTTGCTAAGCCAACACGTCAAACATAAATTAAAAAAAAAACTCTGCCCTCTGGAACGGAAGAACTATATATTGAAAGATGAAGTTAAAAGAATATTTTACACTACTAGTGGGGTATGCATAAATTAATTTCAATTAAAAAAAATATTGGCAGCCGGTAGGTTTTCCTTTCGTTTACAGTACAACTAATTTCGCGCAATGATATATATTATTCTACATAGCAGTACCAATAATACTACCAATTTGCAGGCATATACTTTTGTCAGTTTTTAGTAGTTCGCCAGAATTATTTCGCTAGCACCTCTGACATCCGCGACCCCAAGCAAAACATTGGTGGGTGTCCTCCTCCTGAGCTAATTGTTGAACATTTCAAAACTTCTACATTAAAAATGGAGGTTTGAAATATGTGGCTGCACAAATCTAACATTTGCCCGCGACACCTTGCCTGCAGACAAATTTCAATACCTCACTGTAGGGGGTGCGATAAGTAGTGTCCAGATTAGTGAACGCCATATTGTAGAAGTCTTAGATTTTCAAGATTATATTTACAATATATAACTGTATTTTTTTAGGCTGAGGAGATGTTCCAGTGTACAAGCAGCGCTGCCTTCAGGGTAAGGGTTCACCGAAGTTCTAGCTTGTGTATTCTACTGGCATGAATCGTTATATAAATTATTATTGTATTACGAATATACCTTTTTATATACAAAATTGCGAATTATTGCACTTTATGCTATTTAGAACCAAATTAAGTGCCTCGAATAACTAATTTTTTTATGCAGCGCTTTTCTAGATGCCTTCTGGCGTTCTTGATTTCTATCAAACGAACTTTTTTTAACTACGATGCTTTGTGGCACTACGCTGCTCAGAAGTTTTCCAAATATTTGAAGTTATATTTCAGTGTAGATACAGGCGAGAGCAGCGATCCACAAATATGTAAAGCTGATCTCGCTGATTTTGCAACTGGAGAAGTATTAGAGGTCGCATCGAATGTTGCTTAACCCTCCGACCTCGCCAAAGGTGATGGTGGGGAAACAGCTTGACCTCTAAACGATCACACAGAGACCGGACGCACACAAAGCGGGCTATGAACTATCCTTTACTATTTCATCTTCATCATTCCTTGGTCTAATATTCTTCCTCATTCCCTAGACCACTGCATGTTTTTGGAATCTGATAAATTGGATACAATTTACATACAGTAATAAAACAAGGAATACATTACACAAAAAAGATAGACAAGAAAATTACTTAAATGAAATAGTAAAGTCACCAACACATTACCATTCACTTCCACTATGAATAATTGCCACCCCGCATTATGTACAGCGTGTACACGGATGCTTCGATCCAACTTTAGACAGTCCGCAAAAATGGGGTCTTAAGTCTCGCGCAAGAGTTTACTACAGTGGTGCCCGAAGGTGGTGAAAGCTTTCACTAAAATTGTTGAAGAATTGGCTTACCTCAGGAAATCACAAAACATCATAGCCTATGTTTTCCCTACACTTTGCATCTACGCTTAAATAATATTCTGCGTCCCTGTGGCTCCTATCTTGGCCATTTAAAATAAGAAAGTTAAGCAAATTTTTTTTTTTTTTATTTCACCGATTGTTTATTAGTAATAAACGACAGTATAGCACATAACAAAGTTTTGCTTATTTTGAGGAAAAAAAAACTTAGCGATAATTTTTCTATAGACAAAACCAGCTCCTTTTTGGCGTTTAACTACTGGTAGCGCAGTCGGTAGAGCGGTGCACTGGAAATGGAGAGGTCTCTGGTGCTATACTATGACCAGCGGATTTTTATCATCCGCGCCCCTGTCACCTAGCTGTCTTTGGAGATTTGTGTTCTGTACTTTATCCCCTTTGTTCCCTTTCTCCAGGAATTATGATCGTTATTCCTGTCCAGCTCGCTTCTCCCTTTGCATTAATTGCATTATCATCATAACTTTAAAATGCAGGCCGTTAACTCTAGTAGGTGATATACTGGTGGCAGCTATTATAACCAGTTTGCTCTACTGCCGACTCCTCGTTAGCTCAGATCGTAGAGCGCTCCACTGAAAATGCAGACGTCCCTAGTTCGATACCAGGACCAGTCGGATTTTTTCATTCGCGCTCCCGTAAGCCAGCTGTGTTCAGAGATCTCTGTTTTTCAGTGGTCCCCCTTGTTCCCTTTCTCCAGGGATTCTCATCGTCACACTTGTCCAGCTCGCTTGCACCTTTGCTTTAAGTGCATTATCGTCATAACCTTAAAATGCAGTCCGTTTGCCTTTTTTGGTCTTAGACTCGTGGCAGCTGTTAAAATTCGTCTGCTCTACTGACGTTTACTACTGGTTAGCTCAATCGCTGGAGCGCTCCACTGGGAATGGAGAGATCCCTGGTTCGATACCAAGACCAGGCGACTTTTTTTTCAGTTACGCACCGATCACCTAGATGTGTTTGGATGTTTGTGTGTGTCCATTGTACCACTTCTCCGGCGATTATGATCGTTTTCGTCGTCGTACTTAAAGGCAGGCTGAAGAATAAAATTTACAGGATTATAATCGTGTCTTAAGTCGATTTTATTAAAGATGTAAATTTAAGTGGTTTTATTATGACGGCTAAATCAAATCCTTCTCTCAAGAACAATCTCAATATTTTTTATTAGCCGTTTGTTTATGATTTGTTGCTTTCTATGTGAAACTGTTTTGTATTTAATTTAAAAAAAAAACATTTATTAAGCAAGGAAGAATTTTCGCGAAAGAAATCCCTTGAAAAAGAGAACAAGGGGGACAAAGGACAGACACAAATTTCCAAACAGAGCTAGGCGTGTTTTAATTTTATCAGGCTAAATACGAAGCAAAAAGCAGTGATCAGAGAAAATGGAAACTTTAGCATTCTTTCTATTTTTTGTTCTGAGAGTTACGTAACGTCCTAATAAAAGAATAGCAATGCGAACGAACTCAATATTTGAAAAATAGTGTTTATTGTAAACAAATTAGAACGCGAAATAACGGCGGAATACAAATTTTTCAATAAAAACTGTTTCTTTTAACTACTACAGTGAATTTTTCACAATAAAATGTCGTTCATTAAATTTTACTTTATATTTACAGTAAGTATTTATTGCGCACTGTTTTCAGTGATCGAATGAATTGATAAGTCAATTTGCCATGCTTAAATAGGCATCTATTGATGAAGAATCACTGTTTTGTAGCTGCACTGATTTAAAACAAATTAATATTATTATCAAAATAAAAATAATTTTACTTTGTTGTTGTAATTTCTTTCACCCTGCTTGGAGGTAATCAGGCAGTTACGCTTTATTCTAAAATTAATAGTTGGTTCTTCGCAACTAGTGTTCGAACCACACTATTGCAGATTAAATTCAACAAAAATGGTCACAATTCATCTATGATCATTTCAACGAAAACTGTATTTCACGTTAAAAGTAGTATAGGAGTTCGGTGAAACAGGATTAAACCTCTGAACTACAAAAGCAAAATATATGTTCACATACACAGTTAACTGTATTTGAACGTTCGTCCCTCATAGCTTGTGTTAATTTCTTTTCCGTTCCCAAGGCTCAGATTTTTGCTGTTTTCTTTTTGGTGTATTGCTGTTTGTAGGTGCCTTTTTTACTTCTTTTCTTGTAATGTCAATGATATGTTTCGATCCTGTGAAAGACAAATTAACCTGTCCTCAAAAATGCCGACGGCTCTTTTGGATCAATCTATACGTCGTTCTTGTTTGTTCCTTTTCGTCCTGTCTGTATAAGCCACAGGATGCGGTCGAGTTTATGTTTCCGGCGCTCAAGTTGCAATGAAAGTTGGCAGGCTCTTTCCGGAAATTACATCGAAAGGCTTTCTTCTCGGAATTTCTTCGTGCCTGTTCCTCCGGAAGTGAAGCTACAGTACTCTTTTGAAAGTGATACTTCGATGTCATTAATAGAGAACTAAAGGCGTTGCTTATGACTTGGGCATAACCAAACTATGCCACTGAGCGATCTGTGTCATGCTTTTCACGGTCGCATCTCTAGCGTACTAAATTCTGAAGGAAATAACTATAATAACTTGTCATTCAAATTTGTTTAATGAATACTTCGTTGCTCAAGAATGCGTTGCCACGATGCTTGTAAAATATATTAGAAAGAGTTTTGCAATGCCATACGTGAGTGCGCGCTCACCTCACAGCCCCAAGCAATTATGCCAATGCTCAAGCTGCTTGCAATATTATGTTCGCGAAGGAAAGAGTGAGATTTTAGGGAGATTAACCTCCCGTCTTGCTTACTCAACCAGGACTTTCCACGCCAACCAAATCTTTCTAAAGTTAAGCTATTTAGTGGTTTTCCATGACGGTCAGCAGCTTTGTAATTGAAAGCACGTGTTTATTTTTACTTATTGGATAGTTTATGGAAAGATTTTGCTTTTTTATGTAACTTATTACGGCTATTAGCCTCTATAGTATGTACTTCTTGACGTGAAACTCACCTGTACAGAACATATTTGAGTAGCTTTAACGCCTTTTTTCCACAAATTTGCGAAGACCTGTATATAGTCCTACTAAAGCTTATATTATACTGCCCAACTAAAGTTTCTACGAAAACCCTTAAAGGCACTTCTCGAAAATTATTTTTTCGTAATAAATTAAGACTGGGTGAATTTTTACAGTCAGATAGTACACTGCACTTCTCAGGTTCTTACTCCAAACCTCTCTTGCCATACCAACGCTTTGTGCAATCCCGGTTATTTACGTTGTTTGTACTGTTATTGATTTGTTTCAGGTTCTGCACAAGGCGTGCGGGATGATTCCCAAACCAACCGAGGAACTCTAGAGCCAGACGCACTGAGTTTTGTCGGGAGGGAGCAAATAAAGCACGACCACAGAGAGTCACGTGTCTTTTAGCTGTATTAGAGGATTGGTTGGTACACTAAAGCGGGTTGTAAAGCATCAGCTGCTCTCGTTTGGTGAATAAATAAATAAAGGCGTCCGAACACACACGAAGTTAATGAATACATCATGCGTTTGTCCGTCTTTTTGTTTTCTGGTGTCTCGTTGTTATTTTTTTTTTTAGTTTGACTTTACACCAGCTTGCTTGCGCATTAGCTATCATTAGAGGCCCCTCCAACATACCTATCAAAACAAAAACTATAAAACATGTTTTTTTCTGTTAGAATGTGTTATCATATTGCCGCGCGCGAAGCTGGCCAAGCAGGCAGCGTGCGCGTGGCCTGACGGTTATCGCGCTTGCTTCCCACGCTGAAAGCCAGGGTTCGATTCCTGGCCGCGGAGACGCATTTTTGTTGACACTGTAATGTAAGGTTCTGGTGAATTCGAGAACCGTCTTGCTGATTCGAGGTTAGAATGTTCCACGCGCCGAACCTTCTACGCCGAACGATCCAGAAACCCACGAGGGTACATAAGGGATTCCACAAGGCGAGCGGAGTCAGTCTCGCCCCAGCGCTCGATTCTGCTGACACGCCGACTTCGACGCCCGCGGCGCTCTGCTTTCTTCTGTTTCCTTCTTTATTTTTGGCACAAGTTCGCCACATTAAACGTTTATTTATTTCTGTTTATTTCTTGTTTATTGGTCACGACTCACCACCCGTGACAATATGAGGAGCATTAAATAATGCTGCACATATAATAAGTTTAAATAGTTAAAAATGTGTGTTATTTCCTACGACCTTGGTCTCAAAGAAGATGTAAATGAGATAAAATATTAAATAAGTATTGTAAATTCCGCATTACGCATAAAGTGTTTTTGAGCATTTTCTTATTTGGTATACCTTCAGACACTGCCAACGCAAACGGAAGACAAGAAGTGAACTGTCCGTGGACCTTATTTTAATTTAAAGTTCCTTCTTTTTTGAACATGATTCTAAACCTGAGACTGGGGCAGGAAGAGAACACAACAGAAGGTAGTAAAAGAGGAGGCAACGTCTCAAACTCAGCTGCAAAGTTTATTTCGAACACGCTTTATATACCCCATCTCCAACGTCGTCTCTACAAAAAAAAAAAGACAAGAGGACAATGACACTTCGGTAAACCTTCTCTTATCTGCCTTGAGCTTGGCTGTGGGACACTCACACAAAGCTATCATTTGCGTGTTTTGCGGAAAAAACGTTTGCTGTCCACAGTATTCCATTTCTCGAAAAACCTTTATAGCTACATTTCGGTTGAATTTAGAGCAAAATCTAAGAAATGCAGTCTCTTTTGTGCAAATTTTTTCGCATTTTTTAGTTTCATTTATTAAAATAAGAGCTTTATTTAGACATTATTTAAATACTGCTATCATATCATGAGTTAATTTGACTCCAACGAATGAAAAGTATGTTTGTCAAAGCCCAATGCCGAAATGGGTAACTTTCCGGAATGATCTTCCTGTTGAAATTAAAGTTGTAGAAATCACTAAGAAGAGGTTCGAGGAAAAGGTATTTCCTTATTAAAGTACTTGTTTGCTTTATTTTTAGCCCTCGAATTTAATTTGTTCCCTTCGTTCATTAATACTTAGGCAGGCGAAATGACTGAACACCAATTAGTATGATTGCGTTTTCGAGCACAAAAGCTAATGTGAAATCGCAAAAAAAGTGGAGCCTTAGCATCTTTGACGAACCGCCCTTCAAAGAGTTCGCCCGAGACGACTTGAATTTTAAAGTATTAGGCCAGACCCCTTACCGCAACGGGTTCCCAAGTTGCGTAATCTCTCAAAACATTTTAATGTCGTCAGCGAACTTCGGCAGATGGCAAGGGAAATACGACAGCTTTATCCATTAAAAGCATTTAAACAATCATTCTACTTTTTTTATCGATGTCTCGCCACGGGGTTGCCAGAGGAGTGTGACTTTCGCCGTTGAAATATTGCGCATTTTACATAAAGAACAACTCGTTCTTTATTCCTGTTATTTATGTAGTTTTTTGATTCAAGTGTTGAGAAGCATCATATTTCTGCAGTGTATTCAAATATTGTGAATGTTTTGAGAATGTTACTTCGATGTTTAGATCAGTAATGCAAATACAAGTATTATATTCAAGTATTATGATGTCATGGAATTTTACTTATGCGCATTGGCAATCATGCGTTTATATTAATCAGTACATTTTCTAAAACAAAGACTTTTAAAAATTAAAGGCTGTTGGACCTTTAACAAACTAGTAAATTAAGAGGAACATTTAGCTAAGTGCTTCAAAGTGACCAGACAGAAACAATCCTTCTTGAGTGCCCCCCCCCCCCCCCAGAAGAAGTCCATGTTCTGCCACTCAAGAAGGATCCCAAGATAGGTCGCAGGGGTGACTAAGTTCCAAGAATAATTTTTATGCAACATCGGCTTATTTTAAGCAAGATCTATAGTCACCAGGTATCTCAAGAGTAACCCTAGTTTAAGGTGTAAAATTTTGGAAACATAAAATTAAACCCCTTTCTCCAGTTAATTTATAGACCTCATCGTTAAGAATACTAGGCGCATACATAGAAAGCGGAAGATTTGACACTTATCAGCTAGGAGCGTTATTTCCCTTTCTCGTAACGGAAAAATTCGTTCCTGTCGACGTCGATTTCCTCTGGGACCTAGCGTCGCTTCCCCTCCGGATGACAGTCAAGGTGTGGCTACCGCCTACCCGTCCCCTTCCCAGGCAACGCTCGAGGAAGAACTTTCTTTCACTGCACACGCTCCACTTTCACATCGAACCTATGATTGTAACGCACGACATAGTTTTCAGTGGAACTTCGTGGTTCTAAAGCAAAGATACTCTTTCAAAACTTTTAAATTGTATACCTTTGAACTTACTGTAGGCAAGCAGCTATGAAGGCCAAAGTTCTCCTTGCCTTTCTGATGACGCTAGGATTGTCGTCAGCGCAATACGAAGAAGTAAGTATAAGCATTGCTTTATCACAGCTACTCCACGCTTGATTGCATATGGCATATTTAGGATTCGGTATTCTATTTTATGCAAATTTCTGAAGCTTTGTGTCGCTGGACATGTTAAAAGTTAGCGGCATTTCTAAGATTTCGTAATAACCGAAACATCCATAGCATCCTTTATGCGCTAGAAACGACTAAAATTCGTGCTTTTTTGCGTTCAATTTTTATTTTGAGATCTTCGCGACATGAAAGCAGAAAATGCTCAGAAGCGATCTAATTTCAGACTTCCTTCTTGATATAATTTATACGAAGACATTTTTGCCACACCTCGTACTCGATGCCAGTTCCCTCGGCAAAATACCCTGATGAGAAGACAAAGTTGTAAACGTACACAGGACACAAACTCATATAAGTACGTTTGCAATACCATAGAAAGAAAGAGAGAGCGACATAAATTGTTGTCTTGGAGACGGTATGCAATACCACAAAGATATTCCCTAAGACTCAAGGCTGAACTCCATTGAACAAATTATGCGACGAATAACTGGCGAACGCCGCCCGACGGCACACTCGATTTGCGCGCGACATAGCAGTCACTGTGTTGATTCCACGAGAAGATCAAAAGCCGCCGTCCAAAATTCGTCGGGTATTCGCAGCATATTCGTTTTGAGGAGTTCAGCCTTCACTCGATGAGAGTTACCACCCGGCTGGCTAAGTTCGCTAAAGGCGTAGTACCAACTCTGTTTCAACCGAATCTGCTGATCAATACCTCTCGCCACGAAAATGTTGCATTAAAAATACCAATGCCTATTTTCTTTACTACAACAGACTGGAAGCTATTTGTTAAGGTCCCGGCATAAATGTAATATTTATGACGTTGGCGACTTAAGATGTTGTGGAATAACATAATAAGCAAAATGTCTTGTAGCACAAGAAACGTTAACTATAATATATTTTTAAATTCTTCTTGCGCGGATACACATCCTTTGCCTATTGCGTGATTAATTACAAATATTATCCGTATATGGTCATGGTTTCGTCAAGAACTAGTTAGTTCAAAGTATGTTTGAATTTATTTTATTTATCTATCACAGAAAATTATGAAGTGTGCAAAGTTTACACGTTACTACAAGAGTATACTTCATTTCTTTCAGTCAATCGACCATCTTGTCTCTGAAACTTACGAAGTTCTTAAAGATGAAAGATCGAACACACAAATGGTAAGATCTCCACGTTACAAAATGGTGAGTTAGTGTTGCATTTTAGTAAATAACGATCAATTCTCTTATTGCACTATCCTATTGATCGAACCGCCTGTATTAATGAATTGCTACTACAAACCTTTCTAGTCTTTCCGTCGTGTGTAAACTATGCCGCACTTGAATATGGGAATTATACGTTCTTTGAAATATCAGAAACATTCCGCTTCCGGACACCCCTTTAAGTACCATTATTTGTTATTTCCTTTCTACATACTGGCGTTTTGTAATTAGATTATAAATCGAAAAAGTGCCTTAAGAACTAATTGGGCAATTAGATATAGCAACTGCAACTGTCACATCAGAATTATTCCCGCGGTGACTTATCCGCCTGCACACATACAGTGATCTCACATTTCACTCGACCATGGTAAAAATTCTGAGAATCAATAAGTTCGAATCCATACCTTATTATTTATATGAACCCGTTCGCTAACTTGATTTATACCTATCCCTCATATACACAGTCCTGAAGAGTATAAAAAGAAACCCGGGACCGTAAGGTGGAAGGACGACAAACCCTCGCATCTTCAAGATTACCGATGAGAAATGTCGCTCTCGGTGACCAAAGAGCACTCGACGACGCGATGCTGAGTGTCTGCCCGCTTAAAGGCCGACTTACGAAACCATTTTCCGCAGGGTAGGAAAGTGCTCCCCAACGACCTTCGCTCCCTCCCCTCTCGCACTCCTTCCTCCTCCTCCCCTGAAAAGGGCGGGTCCGGAAGCTAGTCTCTGTGGAAAGGAGAAGGCGTTTCCTCCTTTCTGGGTGGCAAGGAGGAAACCTCTTCTCCCGCGGAAAATGGTTTTGTAGGTCGGCCTTTAAGAGTTCCCTTTTCTCGTTTACTTTTTGACAATCCCAAAGTACATGGCGATAGAATAATCGGCGAGCACTCTGAGGGGAGTGGCTTTAATACCCAACTTAGCGTTGAAAGCTTTTAAATCGCTCAATAGATGCGGTATTCGCACATACGTGAGTTACGTTACTCTCTCCATACTATTTGTTGATGAGTTCAGGGGCAGAGTTTCCTAAATTTATCGGACGTTTCATTCCGCCACGCGTTGATTGAATTAAAACTGTCAGAGAAAGGGGTAACACATTTTGAACTTCCCTTAGTCCATAAATATTGGTTTTCTCGTAAACGGTCATGTTATTGCGTAACATTATTTTTTTCATAATATTCTTTGCGTTTTATCACAGTACGAGCAGATGCTGCAAGAGGTGCCAAAGGTAGACGGGGGTCAAGCGATGTTCCAGGGAGACATGCTTATGACAGAGCGGGACCTGCAAGAGATGTACGCGCTAGCGCCAGCCAGGAGCATCACGTGGCCTGGGGGAATTGTGCCCTACAAGATCAGTGATAGCTGTGAGTGAGCTTATTTATTCTGCACGTTCCAATTAGCTGGAATGATTGGAGGATTTACTGCAATTATTATTGAAATACTATACGTTTTTAAAATTATAATGTGCTGGAAAATGTACAGAGGAAGCAAGAAACCCAATTTACTAGCATATCACGTTTTCACTCACCTCGCAGATTGCACTTTATTCATAAAAAAACCAATTCCCTGAAAATGAAAAGGTCCACTGGTGTTTTGACTCGTTTGGTTGGGCGTTTGTTTTACGACTTTGCCCTAAAGAGGATAGACAGACATACCAATCGCAAACATAACACAATGCAGGCTGATTTATAGCGCGAAATCTTTCGTCTATTTGAATATTCCAGAGGCGTGGTGAATGTTCAGGACCTCAAGCTTTTAAAAACTTTATGCACCTCATGAAAAAGCATTACGCGACACACGATCAGCCCAGCTATAGGTTCCGACATGAAGGAAATAGAGTACTTATACGATTGATTTCTTCGAATGCCTGTTCACAAAACATTTATATTGATCTTGACCAATAACAGACTTAATATGACCTTAAAGTCATAATAATGCATTATTAAAAAGAAAACAAAACTCGAAAAGTATTGAACTATTTTTAATTTTGAGGAGTAAGACAATTACACTTTCTATTTGAACGCTATTGACGTCTTGGTATTTCTGCAGTCATAAACGTCCTAGGAAAGCCTAAGAAATCATAATACAGGACTTTCTTTGTAATCTCATCCAGCTCAAGGTGACGCTGCACTTATTCGGCGAGCGGTTGCTCACTGGATGAACAACTCCTGCCTGATGTTTAAAGAACTCCAACAGGACGATACAACAACCGACTTCATTCTCTTCGTGAAGGGTCGAGGGTAAGAACAAATATGTGTTCCTTTAGGTCTAGTTTAGACTTTAGCATAGGTTTGAAAACTAATCATAACACGTGACTAATCTCCTGACTCATTACCTATATGTGGTTCTATGTACGTTCTTGTTTTCACATGCCCGGTTGATATGCGCTCTTGTTTTATTACTTTGGCTTTAGTCATGAAGAGGACTGAGAGGGGGCGGGGGGGGGGGGGGGGATCTCGACCTTGACAAGCAAAGACAAATCCAGTTACCGTTACCAGTATACAGTTGCAAGATCAACTTAGTTTAATTGAAAGCAAAAATTCTTAAACACTTGGTACTACTCATATGGTACCTACTGTAATCGAAAAATTGTTCAAAAAGAGCAATAAAAAGACAAAAAAAAGACTACTTTGCAATGTTCGTTGCAATGTAGCCAAAAGGGCTACTTTGCAACGAAGAACATCCCAGTGCTCGTGGCTGCACCGCTATGTATCATCCTGCCATTTGTAAATATTATAGTTTCTACATTTGCAACGGTCACCATGATCTAACAGTCTTTAGCGGTTGCGATTGTCTAAGAGGAAAGTGATATAATTAGCCTCAAAGTGTAGTACGGGGTGTCACAAAAGAAAATCTACACGGTCTTTTTTACCGCAAAAATAAACTATGCATCGCCGATAGCTCATTCTCCGCCCTAAGGTAGCGCTAGAGGTCACAACCAGATGCCAAAGTTTCAGCCCGATCCGATAACTTAATCAAAAGTTATAAGTGATTTTCTGAAAATTGCAATGGGAAAATGGAGCCCATTTTTGCCCGTTTTCGGTTTCTGATGCCATAGGGCCCCATGCGTTCGAAAACTTCGTCGGCCGCCGTTTTCCTATTGAATTTTTTGGAAAATCGCTTATAACTCTTGATTGAGTTATCGAATCGGGCTGAAACTTTGGCATCTGGTTGTGACCTCTAGCGCCACCTTCGGGCACAGAATGAGCATTCGGCAATGTCTAGTTTATTTTTGCGCTAAAAAAGACGTGAATTTTTTTTTTTGTGACACCCTGTACATACCGCACATGTCCGCTTTCCCTGCAGCTGTTGGTCGAGGTTGGGCCATGTCGGTTCTCTGCAGCCTATTTCAATCGGAGATGGCTGCGAAACGGTAAGGGGACTTCAATAAACGGACTTATAAGAATTACAAAACTATCAATGGGCGCGTTTCTGAAAACATAATTTATGTCATTGCCTGTAACAATCCGAGTTAGGATATTCGGGATCTTTTTTTATGGATAACTTCACGCTACTGTCCAGCCAGCTGTATTTATTTCCGCCTCTGGCGTACGGGTGGACGGCAACGTAGTGGCTCACCTAACTTATGCGTATTTTCAAGCGACGGCCAAATTCTCAACTCAATCTTGGCTACTTGTCGCTTTCTAATGAGAAAGGAATGATTCACCACGCTCTACGTTGAACGTGTCACTTTTTGAGGTCATTAGCAAATACCGAATCCTGTGAAGAAAATATAACAAAGCGCTTGATTTCCTCTCTTCTGTATACCTTGGCCTTCGCCTTATTCGCGCTCCTTTTATCAAAAAACGTTGCCAACTATACTGACTGAGAGATGAATAGTCACAGGGTGTGGCCTGATATGATTGTAATCCTTGCTATGTGATTGGTTCTTCGACGTTCTTATCGGCTGATGCCTCAATGTTGTTGGCTGCGGAGTGTTAATGACATCCTTTAGACTCGTCGCGCCATGCTTTTCTTAAGTCTTTCAGTGACAGTAGCCCTACTTCGTATTTTCTATAAACATAACAAACAGGTCATTCGGGCAGCCAGTCAGGCCGTGTTCCAAAATTTACTCGATCCTACTCCAGGGTAAGGGTTTTTTGTACACTGGCGTTCTAAAACCTACCCGCGTCCAGCGTTTTTTAATCTCTACTGTCACGTGATACGATCCGCCGGAGTGGCACGGCTCTGTTTGAATAAGATTTGGCACACAGCCTCAGATTTAACGAAAAGACTGGGACGGCAGCAGAGGTTGTTTTGAGTAAGGTACGTCTTAATTATCAGAGAACATTTGGCCTCGTCGACGGCTTGTAGGATGTGCCGGCCAACGTGCCTACGGATGCGGTTAGGGAGTTAACGAATTCTCGGGGATTCCGCAATTACATGTAGGCTATTTCGCAGTGCTGGCTCAGTTTATCTAAAATATTTATTTTTCTCCAAGATTTTCCGTTGGCTAAACTTGAGACGCGTCATTCGTAGGTGTAACATATGCAACACTTTATTCACTCTTCCAGAAAAACAAAATGGCTTGTTTTGATCACGCTATAACTGCTCCCACCGAAAGGATTGTCGGCACACCGTGATTAAATAATTAAAATACCGCTATTACTCAAAAAATAAATACATTTGTATCTCCTCTAGTAATAAAATTCACGCGTCTACTTTTTCTGAGCCAGTTTGTGCATAAACAAACTACTTTCCCTGCGATACTGAATGTTCTGTTTGTGTGCTCCTAATCCCAGGGGTATAGGGAATATTGAATTAAAATTGTGGGCCCGATTTGTCCTTCGTCAACATCTTTTTAGTTACGCAACAATTTGCTGGCTGCTTCCGCTGCGAGATTATAAATCTGCAAACTACGAATAGAAAGCAGCTCATGTAAGTTTGAGTAAATACTATTATGTCAAACCTTCGTCTCTGTAGCTTTTGTGTATGTCGCGCCTGTTTTACAATGATGTTTCTTATCTAAAGTCAGTTTATGCTCTTAACCGGTTTAATATAAACCCCAAAGTTTAATGCCATGTTCGTTAATCATATCACGCTTCAGTATCGTGCTTTGCGTTTTCCAGCGGTTGAATCAATGCGGACCGCACGTTCGCCTGCTTCTGGCACAGGGGCTGCGATGATCTCAGATGGCCGAGCTCTTATTGGCTGATTGAAGCATATAGTGGGTAGACCTCAAGGCATCTAGCATTGAGGTCTACCCAATCCCCCCAATCAAGACCAATTAGAATTCAATCTCGTTCTGACGTCATTGCAATAATTGCGCAAGGAGCAGATGGCTTGCTTTCCGCATGAAGAAAATAGCACTCTAATGTCGACCCTACGGAAAGCAACCAAGCTTTGGGAATCACACATAACACCAAACCTTAAAAAGATTGCTTGCGATTTTTTTATGCGTCGGGGATAACACTTAAAATGTTTGCTTCCCTTTTGATGTCTAAATAATTTTATGAGTTTGCTAAAAGTTTAACGGAACCCTCACAGTGTGGAAGATACAGTGATCCAAACAAAAAAAAAAACAATGTAACTTGAAGAGACCTTAAGAACCGACTTACTGCAGCCATGTCGTGAATAACTCAGCTACTATTGCTGCTTCAAGTTTTCAAGGCATTCCCCCTGTTCCTGTCTGAGACCTTCCCACGTAACGGTGTTCCTGCTCTTCGTAGCTGGCGACGGTGGTCCACGAGATCGGCCACGCGGTGGGCTTCCTGCACGAGCAGTCACGTGCGGACCGAAACCGCTTCGTGGTTGTCAACTACGGCAACATCCTGGAAGGCCTGCGCAGTCAGTTCGATCTCGACCAGGCCAGGAGGGAGTATGGGGCCCGATACGACTACCAGTCGGTTATGCACTACTCGCCGACGGTTGGTACCGCAGCTTTATTGTATGCCTGAAGTAGGTGCTCTGCTCGATATCAGTTGTGAGCGTGAATATCGCAAATTTTTTTGTCTCACGCGAGGTTGGATGTCGTATCTCTTAAGTTCGGTTTGAGCCACTGTGCATGTCAGTTTTAACTTCCAGAATAGTGAAACAACGCGAAAATACCTAGACGCACAACGTCAAAAGCGCCATAAAGAGATGCTTTTTTTTTTTTTTTTTTGCGGGGGGGGGGTTTGGAGGTTACCAAGGTAACCGAGCTGCTAGCTGCGCCTTGCGGCCTTTTTATAAACATGACTCATTTTATATCTCCAATCGCTCATTGAAACCCAGTAAAAGTCGGTAAAAGTGAGTAAGATCCACATAAAAGCGTGGTTGGCATACTGTTACTGGGCGTATTTGAAGTTTTAAGCGTTCCAATCACCGTATGTTCAGCGCAAGCAGAGGTGCGCACTGACAATTTAACTTCGCACTACTCGGGAAGCGAGAGAAGCACGCGATAAGAACGCGGGTGGCGCTTCGAAATATCCGAACGCTACTTCTAGCGTTGGTTGGCCTTGTTCGGCTCCGTCGGTAGCTGTACAGAAACCGAGCCAGCTTATCCCGTTGCCATTACACTGCGCTAGACCAATCGCGGCAGGAGGCGGCGCGGGGAGATGATTTGCTTTGCTCTCGCAGCTAAAGACACCATATACAGCAACTGTAGGTTGGATTGGTTCGATGAACTTCCAACTTTTCGGAAAATTCCCCGCAGTTGCATTTTTTACCCCACACTCTAATAAAAGTTTGTGCGTCTACTTTCACGCACAACACTCGGAGAACCAACCACCGCACCTTACGGAGGCAGCTCAGGGAATGACGATGTCGAAACATATGTTTAGACCAAAAAACGCAGTCTGAGTTGTGACATTAAGCAATGCAAAACGTCACGCTTGCATTGCTTAATGTCACAACTCAGATTGCGTTTTTTGGTCTAAACATATGTTTCGGCACCGTCATTCGCTGAGCTGCCTCCGTAAGTTGCGGTGATTGGCTCTCCGAGAGTTATGCGTGAAAGTGGACGCACAGACTTTTTTTAGAGTGCAATCTCTACGCAAAAAAAAAAGATGAAAATATGAGGCAAACAATAATTTATTCAGTAGTTTATGTTGAAATTTACAGGATACGAAAGCCAATTAATTAAAAGTTAATCGTTTCGTAAGTTTCGTCATTTAAAGCAATACATCCAATAGAGCCCCCTCCCCTGCTGGGTTTTGTTGGCTCGTTTTCAATTTCAGCCCATGCGCACAACAATCAAACTTGAGTTGAAATTTTGTCGAAACTTCCGTTAGAAGTTCGAAACAATTTAACTTAATTAAGCAAGTGCAGTAACTTTACATCTTTTTCTTTTTTTTTGGGGGGGGGGGGGGGTAATAAAAATTAGGCGCAGCGCATTCACCCAAAGCTAAGTACCTTGGGGTTTCTGTAGTAATAAGCGCGCTGGAACTTTGTTGAAGCTTTGGCGGCGCTTGGGCTTCGAAAGAAACGAAGTAAATAAAAGCGATTTCAAGGGAAACGCGCCAAGGGCATTCGATGCATGTGTGTGCAGGCCTTCGCCGCTTCTCCCGAGATGAAGACGCTCAGTCCCGTGAATCCGCTCTTGGCGCCGCTGATCCGCAGGAAAGACGGCCTCACGTTCCGAGACAGGCGGAAGGCAAACTTCCTGTACCAGTGCGACGGTGAGACAGCCTCGCTATTCGAGGCGACCGTCGCATGCGCTTTTAATTACTTTTCTTTTTCAATCAAAACGCTTCAAATTGTTCGCTCTCCTCAGGTTATTCTCGCTTTCCAACATTCCAGATTTCAAAAACTTCTGTTATCAAGAGCTCGCGGCGCCTACTTCAACTCAAGAAACTTGTTTGCTACCATTAAGAGGTCCCTTCTGATTACTTCGGAGGGACAGCGCCAACGTTAGCCAAAGATACTCAGTGTTTAGTGTTCAGAGAGGTCCATTACCAGCGAATTAAGCTTGTACTAATGTAATAATCAAAAAAGCTATTCCCTTGCCCTCGCGACAGAGGCAAAAGCTGGTAGATATTCAAATATTCTAAAGACGATATATGCTCCAGCGCAGCAAAATGTGGGGTGTTCCTGAAACACCTGCATCCTGCTGGAAATGCCGAAGCAGCAAGAACAACTTGAGCGGATGGGATCCCAGATGGCACATAAGAGACGAGCTTCTAGATGAAAAAAAACACTAATTTTCTGCCTCTTCCGATTATGTCATTTCTTTAACCGCCGTCTGCATGACGGTGAAGGTTTGATCACCTGAAGCACAGCAGCAGGATGAATTGAAAGACGTCAGTAGTCATGCGTGTTGACGGTCGTTACTTGTGAAAGAACTATAAAAGAATTTTGGTTCAGGTTCAGCATAATCGCGCCTTACTTTCTTTCCCAATCGTAGGAATTTCTTAACTTCTGCGAGAAAAACCAAGCTCCAAAGAACAAAAAGGAACTTTATTTAAATAACCTGAGATACGGAAAATATATTTGAAATCTATAATATACATATATGATATATTTTTCTTGCGTTACAACTTATAATTTAGGCTCTGACTTTCTTGGAGCAAGCTTTAAGAGAAATATCTCACAATTTCCCAACACAGGGCCCTTATAGTCGCAACAATCGAAAGAGCCGTAAAAGATTTTTTTGTTTTGTTTTCATTAAAGCTTGATAAGAGTAAAGCAATCGTTGAATCATTTTTAACCGAAAACAATGCCGACCTGTTGAAGTAAAACAATAACGGCAACCTACATCTAGCTCTCTGAGGCGCATCCTGAGACCCTCAATGGGCTAATTTGGATTTTGTTTTAACTTTTAATGCGTTTACATCGCCAGCATAAGAAAGCAAAATCGTACTGTTTACTTCACAACGGTACAGCGGCCTGTACCAACAAGCCCGTCTGCCAGAACGAGGGATTTGTAGACCACACCTGCAAGTGCGTCTGTCCTCCCAACACCAGCGGTGAAAAGTGTGAAACCTTCCGAAAGACATACTACCGTGAGTGCACTTCATACTTGTATGTTCTCGCCATACCGCCATAATTCTTTGTTTACTTGATATTCTAAATGTGTTGATTGCTTGCTGACCTTGTTTACTTTCTTTTGACTTTGATATCCTGTTTGCATGGCCAACAGAAAGTATGTTGACTTTGTGTTGAATTTTTTCTTGTAATTTTATGCAATCTGAATAAGAAAAAGCTGCTAAATTGTTGTTAACTCGTCGTTAATTAGTTATTTTATTGTGAGTTTTTGTGTGCAGGGTCATTAGATAGTCTGCAGACGTTTTGTTAACTTCGAAAAGAAAATGTTCAGTTGACTTTCGGTTGCCAGCGTAAACAGAAAAGGAGCAGGCTTTCTGTTGACTTTTTTTAACATATCTGGGACTATATATCAAAAGTTCACACGAAGTTCCTTCATAGTCACTGGCAAGTTGCGAAAAACATGGACAAGTTTCAGTTGTGCACCCTCCAGTGCAAACCTCATACCCTTGGCAATGCTTCGGCTTCGCGCGCATCTGGAGCGCCCGCGCGCTGTCAAAGCCCGGCAGAAGGCATGGAGCGCGCGCAGGCCAGACATTCCAAAACACGCCCAGCCGTTCTCACTCTGTCAATGGCTATAGTGACTAAATTAACCCTATTAAACGAGCCAATGAACAAAGAAAAAGCAACCGTAAAGGAAGTGTTTGAAAGTGGAGAAACTACCTTGACGGCGTCATCCTGAGCGGTGCTCTGCAGACAAGCTTTAACGTACCTTCTGTGCGCCATTCTTTATGATGGTTGTTTTAGCGGCTGTGCCGAATAATTGTTGCTTGTACCAATGTTATTGTTTTGTGTTTTTTTTACTAACAGACAGACTCAACGAACGTAGAAACACTGCTTTCCCTTGGACAGACTTCCGAGAAGTAGATAAAATACTCGAAATCTTTAAAAATACTGCGGTGGTCGCCGGCCAAATGATTTACTTGAAAGTGTAAGGTATATAAGCCTCTGGAGCAGTCAGCCCGACTGTGATTCAAGGGTTGTGAGTGCTTCATGGTGTTTGTTTTCGCTGTGCTTGTTTATTTTTTTTTTTTTATTTGCGAGAGATGTGTAGTGCTTTCAGGTACTTTAAAGAAACACAACTTCCAAGCAAAATACAAAAATAAATTATTTCAAAAATCGCAATTTCCTTCTTCTTTTCGCTATTTCGGGAAAGTTAAACAGGAGCAGAGTAAAAAGCCGTAGTGAGACTTCCAAAACTTTGTCAAGTAAAAAGCGAATCTATAAAGCACTTTTTTGGACTATTGTACATTTTCAATAAAAAAACTTCAGAAATAACATCTTGAAGGCAGCAAAACGTTTGTTGACTTTCTAATGAAAAGTGGGCCAATACTCAAAAGAAAGCCAATGGAAAAGCTAGAGAAAGTCAGATGAAAAGCTGTTAACATTCTATATCCTCTGATGACTTTTTCAATAGCTTCTCAAGAGAAAAGCACCACATATTTTTCCCAGTTATCGAAGAACTATCGAGAGCGGTGTTTACGTATTTTTTTAACATAAACAATGTTTATGAGCTAGATTTTTTTTTTCGAAAGACGTTAAGCTTGAAAGTGACCAAAAAGCATTACACGTAGGCCGAGGCGACATAATTCAATCATGCGTAGCCAATAGCAGGCATCGCATAAGCATCCGAAGCGTGAAGAGGGCATGTTTAGTCATTATAATTCTATAAGCGTAACTAGTGACAATTAATGGTAATCAGCGAGATTCACCAAGGGGCTCAGCGGGAATCAAACCCCGGACCAAGCGATTTCCTGTTTCGTTCCTTGCTCGACGCAACAAGGAGGTGAACAACATCAAGATCAATTGGGGGGCTAGTTGGTTGAACATCTAGACGGAGGTTTAAAAAGCGCGAATGACTAAGCGCTTTGTCCTGTCCCCTTCTGCTCTTCTTTGTGATTTGCGCTTTTTAAAGCCCCGTCTAGAGGTGAACAACATCTCGAGTAGCTGGACTAAGCATTACTTGCCGCCTACACTCGCACGCCGATGCTTAAAAAGCGCAAATGACTAAGCGCTCTGTCCTGTTCTCTTCTCTTCTTAGTCGTTTGCGCTTTTTAAACCTCCGTCTAGAGGTGAACAACATCGCAAGTAGCTGTACTAAGCATTACTTGCCGCCTACACTCGCATGCGGTAGCATGCGACTCTCCATGGTGAGTGATGCTTTGTCATTCATACCTAGTCCAGCATACTTAGTATTTAGGCGTCCATCGGCAGCGAGTAGTATATACTCCAGCATACCCCTTGCGCAGGCGACCGTTGATGGCGAGTCACACTTAGTCCAGCATACATAGCCCGCAAGTGACCGTCGGCCCTGACAGTTGGCTTCCGAATGGCGAAGCATAGCTGGAATCTCGAACGTGCACTCACGACATCACGGGATGGATCATAACGTGCCAATGGATAACGTAGCTGTCGTATGACGTCACAACTTCAGATGGCAGTCAATAGATAGCGTATAAAGGCTATGATTACTCCTCTTGCAATTACTTTTGTTACCAAAAGAGTTTCCTTGTTTTGCAAGCGCGCTAAGAATTCAAGGCCTTACGCGCAACCAAGGAACAAGCAGAACCCTGGAAAAACTTTTCACCAAAGCAGACTCGTGACACGGATCATTTCAGAATAATTTTAAACTTGTCTCAGTCATTCGGGCAAACCCGTAAAACATATTAGTATGTCCTGTATGCAGCGACATTCGACACCACCCAAATCGCGTGCACACATGACGCACGCGAGGCACATTATGTGCTCCCCAATTTTATCAAAATGATCATGAGAAGTTTTTTTTCCACGTGTTTTTAATGATTTTTTTTGCTTATAAATATTGTATGTTTTCGTTCTTGAGAATCAAGGACGTTCATCTGGAAACTTTCACAAGTCAATCTCCAAGAGCGACGTTTGAAGCCACCCATTTCTCCACATTTGGTTATCCAATAACGACCATCCTATCTCGTGACATTAATTTTCCCAATAAACTTATTCAAGTTTTTTTGTTTGCTTTTTTTTTAATTTCAGAGAGTAGGAGGCAGGCACGTAGCCAGGGGGGGGGGGCCCCATCGGGCCCGGGCCCCCCCCCCCCCCCCCCCCCCGAAATCTTCCATTTTGCTGGGACCTCCTCTCCCCCCTCCCCGTCATACAGCGTTTTGTCATGGGTGGGCCTCCCCGAAACAAAATCATGGCTACGTGCCTGGTAGGAGGTGTATCTTTCCAGACTCCAAAAAAATAAAAAATAAATACGTCAGAATCTTTTTTGCGACAGTAAAAACAGACGATTCTTGCATTGGTCATAAAAGTGCTGACGCTATGATGATTCTCGCCTTGACGATGTGCTTTCAGATTTGGTTTTGTTGCTTCTTTTTGTCTAAAGCTCGTCCACATTGCGGAAGGCGCGTTACTCGACAGAGGACTATCAGTTCCCCAGGCTACCCCGATGCCCAGGAACCAAAACAAGGAGTGTGCGTCTGGTGGATCCGGGCAAGTAACCTTCATAAACCCTAAGACACCTATGTACAAAAAAAGTATGTGTTCATATTAGTTTGCTGTCAAAGAAATTTATGACATTATATATAGGTATTTTCATTACCCAGGTCCGCTTTAAAATTTGCCGAAAAAATCGGCTCCCGAAAGTAGCCTTCTTTAATTTTCTTCGGAGATGCATTTTAGTGGTGCATTTCGCCCCTTCTAATGTTTAAGTGGAGCTCTCTTTCTCTATAAAATAAGGCGACTACACTTCCCATGGTGAACATCGACGAGAGCGTAGACAACCGAGGTAGTAAGTAATCAGAGCCGTATATGGGGAGAGTTTGGCCGGTCTATGATCTAGCCACCGTAACACCCCTCTCCCCAGTGAGCCAGTCAGCCCGCGGCGCAGAGCGAGAGGCGTAAGCGCATGCGCGTGAACTCTCGGCCACTCCCAGCTGAGCGGAGAGGGCCGCCATTTTTATCCATTCGCTGGGCAGAATTCATAGCGGAATGCATGGGATCGACATCAACATTTCGGTTTTCTCTTTTTATTTGGCAGGCTCGGGCAAGAAGATATAATGCTATTCCTCGTTGGCCTAAGAGTTAACGAATAAAGTTTATCCATGTTTGAACGGAAACTTTTATTCAGGCGAAAAAGAAATAAGCCCATAGCAGACGACGCGTAGCCTCAACTGTGCTCGGCGCGCCGACAGCGTTGCGTCAAAATGGCGGTCGTCTCCTCTTTGCTCTCTTCTTTCTCTCTCGCTCCTTCGGCGCTCTTCTCCCTTTCTTTTGCTTTTCTCCTCGCCAGCGATTTCGTCGCCACACCCGCTGGCCAGACTGTCCCCATATACGGCTCTGTAAGTAATGATCTTATAGCACCATCTTCCGATAGGGGCAGCAACCAGACGCCAAGATTGTCTGCTTTCGACAGAGGACGTCATCTGCTTGCAGCGTCTATCGAGAGATGGCACTACAAGCATAACCCTGCTAACTCAGTCGAATGCGTCGTCGGCAACCTTTGATCACGGCAATTTTGTTCCTTTTTTAATAGCCCTCGATATTCCCCGATATTCCTAAAGATAAAAAAGACTATCTTCAAAACCCCCTCAAGTAGCTTTGGCGCCCGCCGTTCTTGGGCATGAAGGATGTGATTGGATGCGAGAAGTGATTTCCCTACACCCCCCCCCCCACCCTCTAGTTTGTTTGAGGCAGACTTGTTCCTATCTCAAATACTCTACTCAAGATACTGCATTTTAGATATTTTTGAAGTGTCTTGGTATCTTGCAAATACTTTTAACCGAGAGTATTTCATACTGTATTTGAATTGCGTTTCTGAGTATCTTGTACTCATTATCTCCTATACATTTTTAACATTCCGTCTTTTTCCGAGTTTTTATGGTATGAAGTGGCCTGGGCGTGGCACGAGCGAACGTGAACATTCTTTTGGAGCAACCAAATCCTATTACTAGCTTCGATAAGCTAAGGTGACAGACTGAGCTCGTCAAAACGTCGCTTTGGTTCCCATTGTGACTCATATTTCACCCCAAAGTTCGTACAACAAAGGTTTTCGCCTCACCTTCCCAAAGGCGTCTTTTGTTTCGTAGAGTTTCCCCCCAAAAATCCTCAAACAAAAGAGGTGGCTTCCCGGAAGTAGAGATTGACACACTGTGGCGCAACGCAGAGCGGGAAGCGACCCACGACATCCATGCAGAGTTTGGTGTCAAGAAAATAACAAATAGAAGAAAATATGAAGTGGGCACAATAAGAGACACTTTTTTAGCTTGTATGTTGACCCTGCTACAGCAAAACGTCGAGGTTTCTTCTTTTTTTTTTTTTTACTTTGGTAAATTAGATTTGCGCAACTGTATAATTGTGTTTGTCACTGACATCGACACGAATTACGCAATGCCGAAGTATCTTTAAACGTAATTCAGTTCCAATTCTAAGTAATTGTACTCTACTCAAGGTGCTTTACATTGAAAATAACCTAGGTAATATTTTAAATACTGTAAAACCTTTAATGTACGCGAGCCCTCAATTTTCGCGAATTTCGCGAATTGAAGAATTCGCGAAATTTAAGGGCGCGCGAAAATTTCGGTCCTTACGAATTTCAATGCAGGCGTCTGGAATTCGCGAACTTTAGTGGTCGCGATTATGTCATCTGTGACCGATTCGCGATAAATAGGGGCCGCGAAAATAAAGGGTTTTACAGTACTTTATGAAGCATCTATTTCGTAACTTAACATAATACTGTTCTCGAGTATTTTGTCAAGCACTGGTTTGAGGGAACCCACTTAAAAATGTTTCGCTGAATACAAATACAAACAAAAAAAAACGTAATATTTATTTTGCGCGAAATCGGTGTTTTGTGGAGCGCGCTGGCTCACAGCGACCTAAGAGCACGAGCCGTTTTGTCATATGTCCTGGACGTTGCTTAGCTCCTTGTCTCCCTCTGTGAAGGAAAACAGAGGAGTGGTTTGCCGATATCGGCGTACCGCGTTGGTACAACTATAAAAAATATATATAATTAGTGCGCGCACAAGGAAAAGGCGCGAGAGAAAAAAATCGAACGGAGCACTGACTTTTAATTAATTTTCTTTTAAGTGTCTTATGTTTAAATAGCGGGAAGTTAACCAGCCTCAATGGGCCTGCCTCGATCTATAACTCAGAGCAAGTGAGGTAGGACTATTGGCATTCTCACGGCGCTAGTTGTCTTCGTGCTATCACCGGCTGAACCCACCGCGCACACTGAATGCGCCGTGATTCTTCTCAGTGCCCAGTTGGTTTAAACACCGATGGCACGAAGAAGGCGAGCTCCGTTGAGATACACTTTTGACACAGCTTGACTGGCCCAAAACAATTGTAACCATATATTGCGACATCTACCGACCAAAATTGTCTGTGTGGTCGCCATTCACGATTGACCAAAATTAGCTTCCCGTCAACCGATACTTCCCGCCCAATCGACGGTTCACGGCGACGCAAATCCTGGTCATGACTTCCGAAACGGGAACCACAAGAAACCGCGGAAACATCTCATAGCAAGCGTCCCGGTTCGCTTACATCGTCTGCGCTGTATCGGAAAGGGCGGGGAGCTTCGGTATGCATTTCCCGCGCGTCTGAGCATTGCCGAGCGTACATGGCTTAGGATTTCCCGGTATTTGTTTCATTATTGCGTTGGTGTGTTACGGTAAACTGCACAGGAGAGTGTTCCACGTTTTTCCGCGTGTGCGTGTACGTGTGCCTGTGCGTTGGTTATGGTTGTTCCTTTTGTCTATAGGTTCGCTTTATTCCCACTATTTTGGTGCATACCTGCTCGTTACTGCTTTACATTTTCCCCGGTCTCACTTTCTTCGTTCGTAAGTGTTAACATTTTCTGATATCGCATTAAAACGAGTTCGCTCTGAAGATGTAATGATAATTTCTCAAATCAAGAAAGGTAAATGATAAGCGTGTGCTACCTTCGCCTTTAATTGGAAATCCCTATAAATGTTGCATAGAGGGTTAGGTAAATAGAGTGCCAGAGATTGTATTGTATATCGTCATCTTCCTTGTTACGTCGGAAGACAGGGTGCGACTAGAATTTATTAATATTGATCGCCCCTTTCTATACCCTGAGATAACCTGTTCTGATATTTGTCGGCATCGCAAAAAGAAAGCCTTTACTTTCGCTGACGATTCCTTGAAATAATAGAGTCGTTTCTGTGCTGCCTGATTCTTCAGTCGATCATATATTTGTTATTTTACATTCATTGCGGTATCACAGTATCGATACGGTGATTGATATTCTCTAATGTTGATTTTAGCTTTACTTTATTTTATTTTTAAATAAATTACGCATTCTTAATTCAATGATTAGTCTGTTATGTTGAATGTACAGTCCCAGAAGCTCTGTCGGACACCACGCATGCCTCTCTCCCAACGCAGAGAAAAATCGGCGGAAACAAATAAGTAAATGCTGTAAAGAAAGTCCCTCCTTGTCTCCTCCCCCCCCCCCCTTTCCTCCCAGCACCTGTAAGTTTAGACACACACCCAGGGTGTACGATAGACAGGTGGGGAAACGAGAGCCAAATGAGCGACCGGATTGTGTCCCCCTCGGTTTTCTCTTTTTCTGTGGCGCCATCTATGTGGAGCACCGCGAACTCTCACTCCGGGTGGGCGACCGGTGGCGACCGGCTAAACTGACGGAGATGATTTCTCGTGGATTTATAATGGAGGACTGTCGTGGTCTCGGTTTATTTCGCGTACTCTCCCATAAAGTTCCATGCAAATCCGATTCAAAATTTTTCCTCTCGTTGCAGCGCCACCTGTCGCAAATCAAGGGGAACCGCGAGTAGACGAGTACACAATCCGGTCACGACCAGGGTGTAAGATAGACAGGTGGGGAAACGGCCCATAGAGCCCTACCGCAGCGCCGTGACCGGATTGTGTACTCGTCTGCTTGCGGGTACCCCCGATTTGCGACAGATGGCGCTGCGGCGAGAGGAAAAAAATTGGAATCGAATTTTGGATAGAACTTTATGGGAGAGTGCGCAAAATAAACCGAGAGCACGACATTCCTTCATTGAAAATCCACGAGAAATCATCTCCGTCAGTTTAGCCGGTCGCCACCGGTCGCCCACCCGGAGTGAGAGTTCGTGGTGCTCCACATAGATGGCGCCACAGGAGAAGAGAAACCCGAGGGGGACACATTCCGGTCGCTCATTTGGCTCTCGTTTCCCCACCTGCCTATCTTACACCCTGGTCACGACGCTGCAGTAGGCTTCTATGGGCCGTTTCCCCACCTGTCTATCTTACACCCTGCACACACCCTAATTTTAATTTCGGGGGAATCCTCCGGATTTGAGTCTTCGCAGAATGCTGACACAAGCCTCGTGTCTAGTAAATGCTCAGAGTACGTGCCAAGTCAATGGCGGACACGATTAATTGTCGCAGCAGCTACTTGATGGCGCTAAATTTTGAAAGTGTTCTATTCACGCCTAACATACATCTTCGATGAAAATGCCAGAGTGTTAGTGAAGGCGTCGAGATTTGTTTTGTGTTTTCTGTTTTTTTTTTTTTTTTGCGGACTGCATAGCGTTGCATCGGCAGGAAACATTGTATACTTAACCAGCAAGGCCATTCGCGCATGAAGCAATTTCAACGGGCAGAAGAAAACATTTAATGTTTCTGCTACGGACGACTTTGTTGGAAAATAAAACACATTTTAGCCGCTGCAAACATTTTATACCATGACACGTATTTACGGTTTGCAAGGTTGAGCGACGACCGAGTGAAGTTTTATTACAGGGGCACCAAAGTGGAGTTGGAGATCTTCTATTTTACGGCGCAAGCTTGACCGAGCCGTCTCAGAAAACAAACAATGATAAAAACAAGGGGGCCTGTCGCCTTGTTTGGTAGCTATTCTGATGGGAAAAAGGCCACGCCTGATTGTAGTTTGTGGTTTTCTCGGATGCTTAGGGCAAGGGATCATATCGCAATGCACGGTCATCCTTTAATAGGTGACTAGGGCAAATGGAGGTGTCGCACTGATTACTTGCGTTTTTAATATGAAATAGGCCCTGCATGAATGTTATTTTTCGTCCTCTAATATTTTGTTGAGCGCAGGTTGAGTTCCACCCATACAAAAAGGCGATCTCGAAATTCACTTTTGGTCGCCTCAACGTTTCGCGAATTGTTGCTGATACCAAAAATAAAACACAGGGCGAAAACGTGACCCTTGTCATTAATAGCTTAAATTGAAGCATGCCCCGGGCGGAGAAATTAGTGTCATTTCTACACACGAACACACGTCATACATGGGTAAATTACTTCCAAAATGTAATTTACTGACAATTACAATTACTTTGCTCCAAAAGTAGTTTACTACAATTACAATTACGTCAGAAGTAATTAATTACAATTACAAATTACTTTTAAAAAGTACTGAAATTAATTCACGATTACTTATTTCTGAGAGCGACCCGACTTGAACCATATAACTTTAAAGGAGTTGTGTAGAATGCAACTCCTTTGATCGTTCCTTGCCCGAATGTTTGAGGAAGCTTAAGCATCGCTGCAGAATTGCACTTTCCTTTTATTGCACTTTCCTTTTATGAATTTGGTGAATTCATGGCAGAACTTGACAGCTTGGGACAATAAAGCACTACGTTCTTATATTTGTAATAAGTAATAATAGATTATTTAATAGGCTGGAAGATGCCAGATTGCTAAAGAAAATATTGGGTTGACATGTTTTTGTTATCCAGACAAATAAAAATGCAACTATTCGTCATATATGAATTTATTAGAAGTGTTAATATAAAACTAAGATCCACACGTGGTAATACGACCACATCCACATACAAACATTATGTTATTGTAAATTATTTACATTGAGTTGAAATTATAATGGCTCAGAAATATATGATAACCGATTCGGGGCGCCCGAATCATTGGCGACAATATTCACGGGTGCGAGGTCAGTCTTCAAAGTGCACGTACAAATATTATCCGAAGTAAAACAACCAGGAAATAAACTTCAAGATAATACAAATATACAAATATGTGACAGTACTGAAAGAAGAATATAAAAAACTGGCAAAAAAAAACTTCATAGACAGTTACAATTCTCAACCTCAACTAAAAGCTGACGCTCAATTTTTTTTTCTCAATATTTTGGCATGTTTACGCTATTGTTTTCTGCTGGCGCCGCAGACGGCGCTGCACGCCGCCGTTCAGGTAGGCTCCGAAGATTGTCTCTCAACCTGCAGTGTAAACAAACAAACAAACGAAAAACGCGACGCTATCTTTGTTGTGCAAGCGTGTGCATGAGTGTCTATTTGTGCGAGTGTGTCACCGAGCGCTAGGCCGCTTGTGCGAGCGCTGAGGCTACCGCGAGTTTCCGTCGGTGCCGCAAAGCCTCACTAAAGGAAAGGTAATTGTGTCTGAAATTTTGCAATTACTGACGGTAGAAAGTAATTAAATTTCAATTAATTTTAGCCGAAAGTGATTCTTTACAATTACCCATTATAAAAAAGTAATTAAATTACAGTAATTCAATTACTGTAGTTTGATTACTACTCAAATATGGTACAACGGCAAAACAGGCTTCTATGGAACCTTGGACAGCGAGAACCGAAGCATAGATTGCACTACTTGTAATTTTTGAAATGTTTCCTTCCATGAATTACTCAAAATAGATAGAACCATAAATAAATAGCTCGTCACAGAGAACCCCGTTGCCGCTTTCAACACAGTTACACTGCGATTTTTTTTACAGGCTCCGCGAGGAATGAAGGTGCAGCTGACGTTCCAGGGCTTTGACTTATACGGCCGGATTCGAAGGTTCTGTCTGTATGACCGCCTTGAACTGCGACTTCAATCCCTTTACTCTGGACAAACGTAAGTTTTGAACTATACTCTAAGACACCACGGCAGGTGTGCACATCCGTAGCCTTGGCTATGCTAGTGCACTCTTAAAGGGGAACTCCGTCGATGTTTTATAGCCTTCGATTTTGCTGGAAACTGGCAGACCACATCAATGAGTCTTTTTGAACTGATTGCCAAAATATTTTATAAAAATAAAAATGTCCGTGAAGGTATTAATTTTTTTTTTTTTTTAGTTACGCTGGCCGCGAGCTTTTCAGCCGGGAACTCTCTGCTGGCAACAACGAAAAATTCCTACTTTTCCCTATCCGTGAAAGTCACCGGCGGGCAGCCCCGAAGTGGTTTTCCGGACTCCAGCAATCCAGAATATTTTTTCACGGGTTCTTGGTTGAAGGTTCCTTTGTACTGGGTAGCAATCTGTGCTTTGCGATAGAGTCTATGAACAGTGCCGGGAAAAGCTTAATTTTTACCCTTGTTTTCGTGGGTGAAAACAAAATCCGCTCCCTGGAAGTAATGAAGGCCAGCCACGTCAGGATGCTTCTGCGCACGCTGTGTGCCGAGAGAACTAATGTCACGTGAAACGCTCTCACTTATAATCGGGACACTTTATAGTCGCGCGCCGTGAGTTGAGTATTCTTATGAAACTGGAACAGCTTCAAGAGCGGCAAGCGCATACTCAAGCCGGCTGTGACCAAGACGGCATCAGTCTATTGAGGAGCGCTAATAATATCGAGAAAAACAGTGCACAATATAGTACTAGAGTCGACATTAGTCACATTTGTTGTTAAAAATTGCTTCAGTGATGTTCTTGCATTTTTTTATAAACATTATATTCGTTTGAGACATCGAATCTAGCTTGGAGCTCCGAAAAAGCTCTGAGCTACTTTCGGAGTTCCACTCACGCGGCCGACCTGTTGAAGACGGGAAGTGAAACGACTAAACCGAGTTTAAGTATGAGTTTCGACATGGCTTTTGACACACCGCTATTCGTGGCTGGTGTTACAAAGGTTTGGGGAGCGGCTGTTGAGCTCCGTTAATATACGATACAGCCGTTGTCTGGTTTGTCAGAAGGACGGCGCGCAATTATTTACCGCAGGCGAGGTGGTGAGAACGTCGCTTTCTTATTCTATGGTGGAGAAATGTTGTATGAAGTATGAAAGTTTTTAATTTAAAAAAAAGATTATAGTCCTTAAGGGGATGCATGTAAATTTACCGCTGATGAATGCCGTGCAAAATTAAAACTTTAATTTAAAAAAAAGTTGAATGAATAAGTCCAACTCCGACAGTAAAATATATATATATATATATATATATATATATATATAGGGACAAATATTTTAAGGGCCACTTCGGATAACTCAGTTTAATTAAACATTTTCTCGTGCATTTTTGTACTTTACGCACTATCGCATATTCAAACAAGTATTCTTTAAGATCAATAGCGTATTTGCGTATTTTGCTCGCCTTTCGTTGCAGCTTGATGTTTGGCTTTGTAGTGGCCGAGTTATTTTAGTTTTATTTTAAAATGTTCATGAACGCCAACCTGTGATCCGGCCTACAAGAATACAGTCTATTCCATTGTGTACATTTCAATATTTACGAAAATTGCAACCTACATGTGTTAGGTCACAGCCTAACAATGGCGTGTTCGTCGCTTGCGAAGGCGAGTAAAGTACGCGCCACCCACACGAACGCTGAAAATGTTACCGACCAAAAGCGCTTTTCTGGAATGGTCTATAAATATTTTGCGAAATTACTTAAGCAGCAAGGAGCATATGCATGTTACATGCTACACGTGTGGAGTCTGCAAGAGTAACTTTTGTAAAAAAAGTACACAAATGACACGTTCATTCATGTAAGACGAGCTTGTGGGGCGCCTGTGCCAAACATTCCGAGCATTCTCTGTGGAGCTTGCGTAATTTGTCAAAAAATGTATTGCCTGTGTCTTTTTTCTTTCTTTGCCAGCGTAACTGCTAGCTTTTGATAGAAGAACGTATTTGATAGCGATTTTACGATAGTAGCAAGGCGCGGCTTATGCGTAGCGAGTTATGAAAACGGTTTTCTTAAAATCCCAGTTAAATCTGTTCTATTTATGTTTTTCCATTTCTTAAAGTTTAGCACGTAGACCAAGCTTATACTTCGTGCAAATAAAGATTATTATCAATTGCAGATATCACGAACGCCTTTGTTTTCTCGCTCTTATACCCGAGAAAGTCGAACGCGAGCGTACCCAATTTAGAGCACTGCACCGCCCAGGCCAGCCCGAAGGCCCGACCCCGGCCCGGTCTTTGGGCCGGGCTGGGGCGGGGTGGCGCGCTATTTGTCGGGCCCGAGCCGGGCTCGGGATTGAGCAGAAACATTTTTGGGCCGTGCCTGTGCAGTCGTGTGCCGCAAATTTAAAATAGTTGATAACAAAAAGTGTGCTCATTGATCTTTGAGGTTCAATGAAAACAAACAAGCGAAGTGCAAAGCCACTACAGTGCCGCTCAAAAACATAAAAACAAAAATAGATCTTGCACTTGGAAAGCCTTCACGTGGATAAAAGAAAACGTATGGACTCCACCAGCAGAGTGGGAAAGTGGCAAGTGTGCGATTTATGCGCAAACAGTTTTTAGGTTAAAGCCTGAAAACTTTTTCGGGCTCATGCTTATAATCTCTCGGGCTCGGGGCCGGGCTAAGGCTTATATTTAAAAAAAAAAAAATGTTGCCTGGCTCGGGCCGGGCTTGGGCTTATGTCTAAATATTCTGTCTGTTTCGGGCCGAGCCCGGGAAATGACTCTACGGGGCCGGGTTGGGCTGGGCCTAGGAATGCCTGCTCGTGGTGTGCTCTAACCCGATGGCGTGCCGCGCGCCTCGCTGTCCACCGTGACGTCACGCTTGAATGGCGGAGAAAACTGGGGGGAAAATAGGGAGAACGATGTTTCGGTTTCGGCAGCGAACGAAATATAACTTTTTCTAATGAACTAGAGTAAATCTGGGGAAACGCGATAGCATTTCAGAATAAGGAAGCCATCTTGAATCATATGCGCGCTTGGGTTAGGTAGTTAAAAAAATCGGCGCTCTACATTTTAATGGTAGAGCGAGAGAAGGACTGAAGACCACGAGCAGACGAAAAGGAGAAAAGCGCGAAAAGAAGAGGGTGAATGAATTATGAACACTGTTTTTCGGACCTCATATCTGCCAGTGCGGAAGCAGCTAGCCAAAATGGCGCGGGTTCAAAGGCCGGTGGTCACTCTCGCCTTCTCCCCCCCGCCCTTTCCTTTTTACCATTACTAATGTTTTTATGCTAGGCGGTTATTCTGGTGGTTTTATGCTCCAGCGGAAAAGAAACGTGTTCCACGGACAGCAGCGATAGTCAGCCACGCAGAACAACTTTTTCGTTGTGCCCGTAAAATCCGAAAGATGTTTTTTTTTTTTTTTTAACATACCGTATTTACTCGAGTAATAGCCGCACCATTTATGAACAAGGCCCTTGTGTCTAGTTTTCCTCAAAGCACATATATTGCCAATCATCTCGTTGCGCTTAAATAACATAACGAATGACTAGATCAAGAACATGGTTCTCCAAACAAATTAAACCTTCACAGAGGGTATCTTTGCGCGAAGACATTATCTCTGTCCTGTCAACCGCTGGAATCATGCTGTCGATAGCGGTGATTGACAGCCCGCGTGCTCCGCGAGAAAGCGAACCCCCAGGTTTTCTTCATGTACAGTGGGGCTATTACTCGAGTAAATACGGGATTTATTTGTTTTCTCATAGTCGCTCCACACAAATATAAGTGACAAGCAAAGTGTGGGTGAGCACATATAAACACACAAAAACACACAAAAAAAACTAATTTTACCATATTTAGGTCACCGTATGTCAATACACTTCTGCTCGACCAGGAGCAAGAGAAAAAGGGTCAGTGCTCTATTGTGCCATCATATAGATCTTCCATTAAATTATTGTAGAACATGCAATATTGTTTTAATGCTTCCGGTGTTTCACATCATTATTGTATGCACAAAGTTTCATCATGGGTTATAACTCTCGCCCGCAGAACATATCCTTTCTCCGACTGCCCTTTTCACATAACTCGATTCTGCTTGCGATTTTAAGGTACGACGGCACGCATCATATCTTTCATTCACTTCTTTTTCATCCCATGCGACCAAGCAACGTGGCAACGACGCAAATAAAAATTTCAATGGGTCGAAATGAATCCGGCTTTGCAAAACGTTTTTGGAGACAACCCGTTCGTGAATCTACGCAAAGTCCGCACGTGCTCGTTTTGAGATTGGCTTACAAACAACAAACGATTCGCAATTTCGGGCGGTCATACTTGAAACATTTACCTTTAATAAAAAAAAAAAAAAAAAAAAAGAAACAGGACATTTCGTGAGTGTCGAAAACCACACTCTGATCGAATGAACCGCCGAGATTGCCAGTCAGGTCGGCGAAGACCCGACGCCGGCCGGGGTTTGGAAGAGGAGCTGGTGTGCTAGCTGGCGTATGTACCGTTTTAAATGTGAAATCAGTATTATTGGAAGGTGTTTTTAAATATTTTTGCTAAAAGTAGAAAGAAAAATAATATTGCAATTTTTATTTTATTTAAGATAAACATGTTAACATACGAAAGCTCATAGCTAATCTGTCAATTTTATTTTGCATACACGTTTAGAAAAAAATAGGTTTACAGATCGTATTTAGAAATTTCATGTCTGCAAAAGCAAGTGGGCTGATATTATGTTAAATATTCTTTAGAAACATGGCTACGAAAACGATTTAGCAGATATTCCTTTGAAATGCTCCAGAAACATGTCTACAAAAAAGTGAGCAGATATTATTTTAAAATCTTTAGAAACATGACTACCAAAACATTTTATCATATACTATTTTTAAATTTTTTAAAGGTATTTCTACAAAAACTTAGCAGATATTTTTCGATCTTTTTATAAAATAAGCTGGGAAAAAACTAGTTAAATTTGCTGTTGAATTTTTTAACGTTTAGCGAAAGTGCATTTACAAAGGA